ATTCGCTGGCTAGTTCGCCCATGTTGTGAAAAGAAAACTGACGCAACTACTTCTCATGGTTTCTCAATTACATAATATCTTCAACTGAATATCCTGAATATTAAAATTATTTAGTGTTTAGTATAGAGTATAGAGAATCACTCTATCCATGCACTGACAGTGGTGACTGAATCACCCTATATATGCACTTGCAGTGGTGACTGAATCACTCTATATATGCACTGACAGTGGTGACTGAATCACTCTATATATGCACTGACAGTGGTGACTGAATCACTCTATCCATGCACTGACAGTGGTGACTGAATCACTCTATATATGCACTGACAGTGGTGACTGAATCACTCTATTCATGCACTGACAGTGGTGACTGAATCACTCTATATATGCACTGACAGTGGTGACTGAATCACTCTATATATGCACTGACAGTGGTGACTGAATCACTCTATCCATGCACTGACAGTGGTGACTGAATCACTCTATATATGCACTGACAGTGGTGACTGAATCACTCTATATATGCACTGACAGTGGTGACTGAATCACTCTATATATGCACTGACAGTGGTGACTGAATCACTCTATATATGCACTGACAGTGGTGACTGAATCACTCTATCCATGCACTGGCAGTGGTGACTGAATCACTCTATCCATGCACTGACAGTGGTGACTGAATCACCCTATATATGCACTGACAGTGGTGACTGAATCACCCTATATATGCACTGGCAGTGGTGACTGAATCACTCTATATATGCACTGACAGTGGTGACTGAATCACTCTATCCATGCACTGGCAGTGGTGACTGAATCACTTTATCCATGCACTGACAGTGGTGACTGAATCACTCTATATATGCACTGACAGTGGTGACTGAATCACCCTATATATGCACTGGCAGTGGTGACTGAATCACTCTATATATGCACTGACAGTGGTGACTGAATCACTCTATTCATGCACTGACAGTGGTGACTGAATCACTCTATATATGCACTGACAGTGGTGACTGAATCACTCTATATATGCACTGACAGTGGTGACTGAATCACTCTATATATGCACTGACAGTGGTGACTGAATCACTCTATCCATGCACTGGCAGTGGTGACTGAATCACTCTATTCATGCACTGACAGTGGTGACTGAATCACCCTATATATGCACTGGCAGTGGTGACTGAATCACCCTATGTATGCACTGGCAGTGGTGACTGAATCACTCTATATATGCACTGACAGTGATCACTGAATCACTCTATCCATGCACTGGCAGTGGTGACTGAATCACTCTATCCATGCACTGACAGTGGTGACTGAATCACCCTATATATGCACTGACAGTGGTGACTGAATCACTCTATATATGCACTGACAGTGGTGACTGAATCACTCTATTCATGCACTGACAGTAGTGACTGAATCACTCTATATATGCACTGACAGTGGTGACTGAATCACTCTATCCATGCACTGACAGTGGTGTCCGAATCACTCTATCCATGCACTGACAGTGGTGACTGAATCACTCTATCCAAGCACTGACAGTGGTGACTGAATCACTCTATCCATGCACTGACAGTGGTCACAGACTGAATCACTCTATCCAAGCACTGACAGTGGTCACAGACTGAATCACTCTATCCATGCACTGACAGAGGTGACTGAATCACTCTATCCATGCACTGACAGTGGTCACAGACTGAATCACTCTATCCTTGCACTGACAGAGGTGACTGAATCACTCTATCCAAGCACTGACAGTGGTGACTGAATCACTCTATCCAAGCACTGACAGTGGTGACTGAATCACTCTATCCAAGCACTGACAGAGGTGACTGAATTACTCTATCCATGCACTGACAGTGGTGACTGAATAATGGCTCTGATAATATAGATATTGGTTGAAACTTTTAAAAATGTAATAGGCTACCAAGGAAATGTTATGAAAGGATATGATGTTGTAATAAGAAAACCAAGGTAAAGGCAACTGAAAACATTGTAGAGGAGAATCACTTATAAATACAAATTCACTGTATTCATGTGGCTATGTATTGGGGCTGGGATGAGTCCAAATGTACCACCCGGGTACCCACATCCTTATTAGCTGACCCTACCCGGGTACCTGCTGTTGGTTTCAAGAGATAGGTACAAAATGTCCGATTGGCAAAAGTTTGACAGCAGCCCTAGCAAAATGTATTTTATTTAGATACACGTATAAAACCATCTGGTCAGGCATACACTGAAGTTGACTGAAGTTTTATTTGTATTCAAACATATCAGAAGGAATGGGTGCACAGTCATGAAGAAATGCGAACATTAGAGACTTGTGTAACCATGAAGTTATAGTGATATTTTGTCATGAAACAATATATCACGTGACTAACTACGGGTCCGGGTAGTCCTGTGGGTACCCGGATCCTACTCAGTACCCACCCGACCTGAGTACCTGAGTTACCCATCCAAGCCCCAGTTCCCAGGTCCTACTCAGTACCCACCTGACCTGAGTACCCGAGTTACTCATCCCAGCCCTGGTACCCAGGTCCTACTCAGTACCTACCCGATCCGAGTACCCGAGTTACCCGTCCCAACCCTAGTACCCAGGTCCTACTCAGTACCCACCTGACCTGAGTACCCGAGTTACTCATCCCAGCCCTGGTACCCAGGTCCTACTCAGTACCTACCCGATCCGAGTACCCGAGTTACCCGTCCCAACCCTAGTACCCAGGTCCTACTCAGTACCCACCTGACCTGAGTACCCGAGTTACTCATCCCAGCCCTGGTACCCAGGTCCTACTCAGTACCCACCCGATCCGAGTACCCGAGTTACCCGTCCCAACCCTAGTACCCAGGTCCTACTCAGTACCCACCCGACCCGAGTACCCGAGTTACTCATCCCAGCCCAGGTACCCAGGTCCTACTCAGTACCCACCTGACCTGAGTACCCGAGTTACCCGTCCCAACCCTAGTACCCAGGTCCTACTCAGTACCCACCCGACCCGAGTACCCGAGTTACCCATCCCAGCCCTGGTAACCAGGTCCTACTCAGTACCCACCTGACCTGAGTACCCGAGTTACCCGTCCCAGCCCTGGTACCCAGGTCATACTCGGTACCCACCCGACCCGAGTACCCGAGTTACCCATCCCAGCCCTGGTAACCAGGTCCTACTCAGTACCCACCTGACCTGAGTACCCGAGTTACCCGTCCCAGCCCTGGTACCCAGGTCATACTCAGTACCCACCCGACCCGAGTACCCGAGTTACTCATCCCAGCCCTGGTACCCAGGTCCTACTCAGTACCTACCCGATCCGAGTACCCGAGTTACCCGTCCCAACCCTAGTACCCAGGTCCTACTCAGTACCCACCTGACCTGAGTACCCGAGTTACTCATCCCAGCCCTGGTACCCAGGTCCTACTCAGTACCTACCCGATCCGAGTACCCGAGTTACCCGTCCCAACCCTAGTACCCAGGTCCTACTCAGTACCCACCTGACCTGAGTACCCGAGTTACTCATCCCAGCCCTGGTACCCAGGTCCTACTCAGTACCTACCCGATCCGAGTACCCGAGTTACCCGTCCCAACCCTAGTACCCAGGTCCTACTCAGTACCCACCTGACCCGAGTACCCGAGTTACTCATCCCAGCCCAGGTACCCAGGTCCTACTCAGTACCCACCTGACCTGAGTACCCGAGTTACCCGTCCCAACCCTAGTACCCAGGTCCTACTCAGTACCCACCCGACCCGAGTACCCGAGTTACCCATCCCAGCCCTGGTAACCAGGTCCTACTCAGTACCCACCTGACCTGAGTACCCGAGTTACCCGTCCCAGCCCTGGTACCCAGGTCATACTCAGTACCCACCCGACCCGAGTACCCGAGTTACTCATCCCAGCCCTGGTACCCAGGTCATACTCAGTACCCACCTGACCCAAGGACCCGAGTTACCCGTCCCAGCCCTGCTATGTATGTTTGGAGTAATTAGTGCACATAAAGTCAAACTATTTTTATATCAGCTTCAAACATCAAAGATGTGTACTTGTGAAGGTGGACCATATCATTATTGGTTTCAAGGAAATGCCACTCCTAGTATAAGTCCTATATGTCTGTACTGAGTGCTACCTTACTTAAACAAATTCCCTTTCACTAAGTGAGATCAAAAGTATTAATGTCGGCACACTTAAATTCTTAAGGCCACACCCATAATCTTCAGGAGCACCCTGTGGCAAACTTTCAGAACTATACACTACTATTCCTGCACAGCATTGTGGTAAATAATTAGCCTGTCGCTACCTGCTTTCATGAAAATATTCAAATTGAATAATAAACATGTATGCCCTGAGGATACAGTTATTATTCTGGATGCAGGTTCAAGATAGCTTGATGACAAACATATTTCATTCCTTTGCATCTTTTTTCCACATAATATACTCAAAACCTTAATAATATTTATGAATTGCTTCACTTAAATAACAAAGAGAGGCTTTGATTGTTTATTTGGTTGTTTGTTGTTTAACGCCGCACTCCGCAATATTCCAGCTATATGACGGCGGTCTGTAAATAATCAAGTCTGGGCCTGACAATCCATTGATTGACATCATGAGTATCGAACCACGCGATCGGGATATGATGACATGAATCAGCCAAGTCAGCGAGTCTGACCACCCGATCCTGTTAGTCGCCTCTTACGACAAGCATAGTTGCCTTTTACGACAAGCATGGGTTGCTGAAGACCTGTTCTACCCCGGATCTTCACAGGTCATGATATTTCATCATATTACCACAAGATAAAACACAAAAGAAAATGAATTGCCTTAACATATATGCAGATGTTAATAAACTTATAACTTCCAATAAGTTCCACGTATACCTATGAATCAATGCATTTCTTTGTCATTTCACGCCATGTTTTCTCTACAAGCATGATAAACCTGTATCAATTTTCAATATTTGTTTCTTCAAATGAGTTTAAAAACTAAATTTATTTGAGTGTCACCTTTGTTTTTTCAGCCACGGTGTCGTCCATATCTGCTTGCTGCATGTTGTCCATTTTGTCAGTGTCATGTCACTCCCAGAAGGAATCAGCTGTCATACTGTTTGCACGTGCGTTGAGTTAAACGAGTAAGCGTGATCAGTCGGCTTGGGCCATTGCCAACTCGTTCACTGACAGCAAGTCTCCGCCGTTTCCTGGGGAGTGCAGGTTATTAGCTTAAGTCCGTACAGTGATCCCGCGGGTTGTGCCACGGTGGGGTGAAGGCTTCTCTCGTATTAACAAGAAACTATTTACTTCCTGGTTTCACACGCGTGGTTTGTTGATAAGTGACGTGATTCGACAGGAATCTAGCCAATCAACGTGCTTTATTCTGAATGCGGCGTCGTGCTGTTCACAGCCCGCCCAGGGAGGTGGCTTTTTAAAAAAAAGAAATAATCAACCAACAATCAACTTAACTTTACAAGAAATTCATGCATGATATAAAACATATGTCAAATACATAAACGTAGTATTTCACGTATTGATATGAATAACCTGTAGAATCGTTGAAAGAAAACAATTATTTAAATATTCACGTGCGCAACCGAGACATGATGCTCCCTTGACGGTGTTTGCTTCCCATGAAATTTGGAACACGGCGCGCAGACAAGAGAGACAGATTTTGTGTACAGCGATATTTTAACATCTTGATATTCATTCTTGGTGAAAAAGGTATTTTCATAAACTGGATTAGTTTGTCGAACGAATTATATTCCCCTCCGATAAGGGATATAGATACAGAGGATTTGGAACACATTTGTATATTGATTATACGGTAGATGACAGATTTTTCAGATTTTCCGTGGAACAATTTCAGTCACACTTCCGATCTCACTCCTAGTTCCCCCAGTGACCTGTATCAAATGAAACACTGACAGAAGATAAGAGAAGATGAATTCAATAATTTAACACTTTCTTCACTCTTTTCACATTACTTCTTTGAGAGACAATTAGAATTTGGAATACGAAGTAAGGATCAGAATGTACGGATGAATAACTTCTTTATTACAATTAAGAGCAACGTTTTTCGGTGTAGGTTCTAACACCGTTATCAAGGAAGTTTTAGAACCTACACCGAAACGTCGCTCATAATTGTAATAAAGAAGTTGTTCATCAATATATTATCCTTACCCATTTCACATTGTTGACATTACCGTAAAAAATGTTAATTCGTGAAATATATTTGCGTTAAACATTTTATTTAACATTTGTTCCAACATTTGTTCCAACATTTGTTCCAATAGATGAATGAAATTGTTTAGGCATCACATTTGAACAATCGTATAATACAACCCTCCAAAGACGTATACTGTATTCGACGTAATAAGCACCCAGGGCGCTCTCAAAAATAGAAATAAGGTGCTCTTATTAGAATATTATTTTGGTGAAAAAAAGTGTTGAAAAGATCATTTTGAGTTGAAAGATAAATTTCGTGGTTTACGCTGACAGCCTGAAATGTTTCTTTTCCACCGATGTATTTTTCCAGAATTTAATTGCCCATAATTAAGGGTGCATAAATAAGTCTTGTGTACATTGATCAATCGGAAGGGGTGCTAATTGGGATTGTTCATTAGCCAATATATCAGCAAATATCGCCGTGGGCGCTTATTAGAGTGGGGCGCTTATTACGTCGAATACGGTATATATACTCTGTACGCCTTTGAAACGATTTATCAGGACACCCCTTTTCTGACAAAAGCGTGTCTGATACAAGGAATTACTGGACCAATACAAAGCCAATGTTGGGTCTAACTGTAGGTTGTGGGAAGTGATAACAAGTGCTTGGCAGTTGAGCACAGATTTGGTTGGCCATGATGGGTTGCGAAAAAATACGATTCTTCGGCATATCTGTTGCAACTGGGATGTCCTCACGGAAAAGGATTTTAGATAAACCAGCAATTTTACACATCGTAACATGTTCGTTCCTTCTGAGACCCCTGCTATTAATCATTTGTTTACAGCTCTTGTTTCTAAAAACGTATTATGTCGGTGGTCGAAATAACAAAGAAGTGTATTAAAGAAAGAAAATATTTAACTAGAAAGTAAGTAAGAGCGTGCTTTTGGAAATGACAGGTCATAGGGTCACTTCGCCTCCAACACCTGGCCGATCATTAAGTGTTCAATGCTGTAGTTAATAAACAGAATCGATGGGAAGGAAAACAACCCATTCTCCAATTTTGCATTATATTCCACATGTTTTATGTATATTCCGGACACCGGCGCGATTTTAATATTCGCAAGAGATTCAAAGCGTTCAGTGTAGCAAATATGAAAGCAAGGGAAATACGCCCCACTTCCCACAGTGATCTCATAATGATGCGTTTTACAACCGCATAGTAGAGGAAGTGACTTATAAAAGGAGATAAAATTACAGTAGTGGTTTAATTGTATGTGTGGGAAGAGAGTTACAGCTAACAGGAACTATTCTGTCGTTGCATAATCAGATAAAACAATCTTACTTTTAACACAACACACGGTGCCCCTGACAATTCAACATATTCCGAAAGCTATATCCATTTTTATTATTATCATTGTAATTATAATAATGATAATAATGATAATAATAATGTCTTATAGTTGTTTATCTGCATGCATTAGGGTCCTGGTTTTTTTCATTCATCAGAAAATTGATCTAGTTTTAAAACATTAAACTATTTAATGACATATATGATTTCTAAAGAATGGAATAATTATTTATCGCCATTTCTTGTTTACTGTTCATTGTAGATCATGTGACCTTATAAAATAATAAACCCCTTCAATAGTTACTTTATTAACAGTCGTATACGCTCTACAACCCATATTAGGGATGTTGCTTTAAATTTTCATACATTATTTTTAAATGAATGGATTTATCAATGATTGCGAATAAACCTAATTTATTTCATTCAGTCACACATTATAACGACCCAATCTCCGTTAGGTTCTTAAAAACAACCACCCCCAACATAGATAGTTAATATATATATATTATAGACAACGCTACGTTTTGTCATATATCTGTCGTTGTTTGAAACAGAACAGATTGTTTTCTTTTTATTACGAGTTGCTTTCTGTCATATTAATTTGTTCCGTTTAAATCTTTGTTACACCATGAATAAGAACACCTCATGATATATTCTTTACCAAGTAAAAAGTGGATAATATTTCACGGGTAATTATCTCGATGTACACCGTCTTCATCCGGGCTTTCACGTTCAGGCAACGCCATTTTGGTACGAGGAGTGTTCGTAAGCGGTATAATTTACCGTTGTTTTACAGTTTAGTCAGTCATACAATGGGAAGGAAGAAGAAGAAGCAGAGTAAGCCATGGTGTTGGTATCCTTGTAAAACTTGTTTTTTAAAAACATACCGTTTTGTGGTAGATTTTGACTCATGGTATTGCTTTGATGGTTTTTGGCTGATGACTGATGTCGTCATGTAATGAGAGCTAGACCTAGCCTATGAAATAATTGAGCATCACTTCAAGTGCCTCATACATAGGTTTACATAATCTTTTACAATTAATTTAAGTTATCTTTTCTTTGTCACAGATGCGTCTCTCTTCATTTATGAATGATTGTCATTCTAATTTGATTATTTGGACCGTAAAAGTTATCACATGCAGCGTTAGAAAATGGCACTAGTCCTGCAAGTCCTTGCCAAACTGCTCAGTAGTTAGGGTATCATAAGGAGTAGTAGAAATTTGCCATTTTAAGGGTTTTGCTATATGTTGTCATTGTAAGGACTAGTGGACTAAAAATGTTAGTTTCTACCGCTGTCATGGGGCCAGCATGAGTAGCCAATACCTTCCCCCAAGGAATACACCCGTGAAGATCCGGGGTAGAATAGGTCTTCAGCAATCCATGCTTGCTGTAAAAGGGGACTAAGGGGATCGGGTGGTCAGACTCGCTGACTTTCTTGATGCATGTCATTGATCCCAATTGCATGGGTCGATGCTCATGATATTAATCACTAGATTGTCTGGTCCAGACTTGGTTATTTACACATCACTGTCATATAGCTGGAATATTGCTGAATGTGGTGTTAAACAAGAAAACCAACCAACCCAAGGAATGCAAAGAAAACGGCTGCGCATTTTTAGCAAAAATCGCAACATCTTCACCAGTCTTCTTGTGAAATGGCCAGCTACAAAGTTTTCATGCACTTGTATAGGCCTATTTGTGATATTACTGGCCATACATCATGTGCATTTCTGTAAGTTTATCATGTTTATTGTTGCTGTTTTCGGTAAAACTGTGTTGCTGTTTTCTCTTGACCCCTCTCCAAGAACAGCAATATTCTATGATGAAATATTTTACTGCCCATTAACCAGTATCAAATGATGAAAGACTTCAATTTTTCAGACACAGCTATTTTGCCCAGTTTGGTTGTGCATCACTGATCTCAAGTGATGCTTCGATCATAAGCCATATTAGTGTTAGTAGGTGATAAAGTAATCCTTTCCTATTCTTTGATTTAGTTGTTAGATAGGGTGGGCTATCTGACCTCTTTTAACAAATTAATACAATGTAATCAAAAGTAGATCCATATAATGTTTGGATGTAAAGTACAGTTTACCCATGTTACCTGCAAAAGGTCAGCAGGTAATGAAGTAATGAGCTTGATTAGTCTAGTCAAGCTTCAAGCTGGCAACAGGAGCATGGGTGGCTAAGTTGTCTTAGGCCCTGCAAGTCACACGGCAGAGTTGTGTTCCTTAGGCACACCATGATTGCAGATTTTAATCCCAGTTCATCCTGATTGTTTCTAGGTTTGTCAGCACCATACCTGTGCTTGTAGGTTTTCACCAAAGTGGCAAACATCTGAGACCTGTATCACTTTCCCTCCTACATTAAACTGACATGCTGTGATATAACTGGAATTTCTAGCCAATGTGTAATTATTCAATGATTTATATGATCCTTAAGTAATCACAGGTATTGCAACAGAGAGTTCGATGATGAAAAGATTCTTATTCAACATCAGAAGGCAAAGCATTTCAAATGTCACATCTGTCACAAAAAGCTCTACACAGGACCAGGTCTGTCCATCCACTGTATGCAGGTAAGTTCAGGATGAGTAGTGGTAGAGTGATAGTTCCATCATAACATTGTGCCAATTCTTTGTTGTGAAAGATTGACAAGGCAGAATATTTTTTTAAATAACAGAAGTAGTTATCTTTTTGTTCAGTATTTTCAGTATGTTTGTCGATCGCTGGTCATGCCGAAGACCAGGTTCGATTTCTCACACGAGAACAATGTGTGAATCCAATTTCTGGTGTCCTCCGCTGTGATATTGCTGGAATACTGTTAAAAGCGGCGTTTAACCACATTCACTCACTCAGCATATTTGCTTATACTTTACATATGGGGGGACACGGGTGGCCCAGTCGTCTAAGGCGCCACGATTCGTTGTGCAGAGTTGTGTCCCTTGGGTATGCCAGGAACCCATGATTGTGGGTTCGAATCCCGATTCACCTCAATTATGATTCTTGGTTTGTCAGCACCATACCCGTGCTCGTGGGTTTCACCAAAGTGGTAGACGTCTGAGACCTGCATCACTTCAGGCTTTCCTCCCACATTAAGCTGACATGCTGTGATATAACTGGAATAATGTTAAAAGCTGCATTAAACCCAACTAACTCACTACTTTACATATATTTAGATTCATACAACTCAAAAAGTTAGGGACCACTTGATTCTTTCATATTACTACAGTTAATCTATCATGGCATCTGCACTGTGAATTTACTGGGTGATCTTTAACTTCTTTTGAGTAGTATATAAGATAACCAAGATATAAATGCTCATGTTGATTTACTTTGACATGAAAAGGTGTAAATATTCTTCTGATCTGACATCAAAGGGGTAAAAGTCTTAGACCTGCATCACCTCAGGCTTTCCTCCTACACAAAGCTGAAACACTGTTATATAACTGACTGACTGACTGACTCACTCACTCACTCTTCTGATCTGATTGAGCATGCTGAGTAAGCACTTCATCTATTACTTCAATAAGTTGTGATTGTTTTGCTAGTGGAATGTGGTGAAGCAGACCCATTGTCATGTTCTTCACTCACTGAACGGGGCGGTCGGGTAGCCTTGTGGTTATAGCGTTCGCTCGTCACACCGAAGACCCGGTTGGATTACCCACATGGGTACAATGTGTGAAGCCCATTTCTGGTGTCGCCCGTCATCATATTGCTGGAATATTGCTAAAAGCAGCATAAAACCTCACCCACTCACCATGCTCACTTAACATTTGTTTTCGTTGTTAATGTGTCTCTTGTCTCCAAATATGATCCTGGATAAAAACATTATGTAATGCTGACAGTGACCTATTCCCAGATAAATACATGCTTGGTGTGTTGTAGGTACATAAGGAAAAGGTTGACAAAGTTCCCAATGCATTGCCAGGGAGAAACAATATAGAGATTGAGATCTATGGGATGGAAGGAATTCCTGAAGAGGATGTGAAGGAACATGAGAGAAATAAGTCAGGCAAACAAGGTATGCTGCCAGGACATGGCTGACACTTAGTACAAGTATGTCTAAGAATGTAGATTTATCAAACACAGAAGACTTGCAGTAATATACATGAATAAACTGTGATAGTTGTGATTAAAGATTCAGAGTGTTTAGCTAGAACTTGTGAAACATGTTTTGGTGAAGATAAAATGTTCTATGAAATTTGAAATAATCTTTTCTTCAGCTGTTTATCTTGCTTATTCCTTTATTATCAGCGGGGCTGAAAGATGATGATGAAGACAGTATGCCTGCTGCTCCCCCACAGTTCAACAACATGGTTGGTCCAGGCCCCAGCATGCCATATGGACCCCCAGGGATGCCTCCACCTGGACCGATGGGGCCTATGGGTCCGATGGGGCCAATGGGACCTATGGGACCAATGGGACCTATGCCGCCGATGGGTAAGTGTTTGTGAATTTATTATCATGTATAATGTTAATTATGCAAGTGGTGAACAATGGTGTATATACCCTTGTCATTATTGTCCTATTAAATGTTAATGGGTAACCATCGTAACAGATGAGAAATAGTTTTAGCCTTGTTATAGCATTTGCTTTTACACTGCAAACAGTGATAAAGTTTTGTTCCATTTGTAACTCTAACTTCCCTTGTATCTTCGAGAAATGGAAAACTTGTATTCATTAATCTCAGCAAGATGCACCTTGAACATATATGCAAAACAATGTAAAAATGTAAATAAAGAATGTTTTGAACTTTTGCAGGGCCAATGGGACACATGGGGTAAGTAGTAATTGAGATCATGCACAAACAAGATAAGCTGTCATTAATTCCATCTGTTCTAATGTCATGTAAAATTGAATGCATTCTGTACACACACATATGATGTCACAGAATTCTATCTATAGATCTGGCTATCAAGTTGTCAGATCTGAAGCTATGTCATACTTGTTTCAGAATGCCCCCCAACATGCCTCCAGGAATGGGCCCAAACATGGGACCCAGGGGACCAATGGGGATGCCACCTCGGATGTCTCAGGCAGGCCCATCTCAAATGGGGCCATCAAAACCATTGTTTCCAGCAGCAGCCCAGGTATGTCTGTGGCGATGGTAGCCAGATAATTTGTTCAGTATTTAGATGATGCTGAAGTACACAAGGTTAGCATAAGTTGTAAAGGATTTAAGAACAAATACAACTGACAAGTATTGTTATACATATACTTTCTTCAGCTATGTTCACTTTTGGAGGCATCCCAGGAAACAAAATGTTATCACATCGATAATGCATGTGTATCTGCATAAGAAAATAGTGGATGTCATTGTGTGTGCCGTTTCTGTTTTCTTAATGTTTTGCTGTGATTGGCTATAGTTGCAATTCCTATTTCTATATTTTACTTACTTGGGAATAAGAAGGCTCTTTCTTCTGTTCTGTTTCTCCTGCTGTCATAACATTTTTATGAAACTTTCCCCCTTCTCTCCTCCAGTCGAAGCCTTCCACTACGTCCAGTAGTTTAGGTCAACAGTCATCCAACATGGGCACAATGAAACCTACATTCCCTGCTGCAGCAACATCAGGCAATGCCAGTCTCTCAAGTGCTACTATCACTGGGGCTCCTATGATTAAAAAACCAGAGTCTAGCTCAGGTTTGACTTCTAGGTTAATGCACCCAGATGAGGATATATCACTGGTAAGTATTTCCATACAGGGACTAATGTCCTTGTTCCTGGTCACAGGTTAGTGAAAAGTCTTAGACATGCTAATCAAACGTTCTTTACCAGTGTCTTATTCTGTTCCGATTCAATGGTATGCAAGTTCAGCAAGCGATACTAACATAACTACTTCAAGCATCTAAGTACGTTATGACCTTTTGTCATAACCCATCTCCCATCTTCTATTTTGCATCAGCCTTTTGGATTCAAATATTATATGTTGTCTCTAATATTTTTGCGAGATGTTTGACAAAGTAAATCAGGTTAATACTTGTGAGCAGGACCCGTGAAGATCTGGGTTAGAATTAGTCTTCAGCAACCCATGCATGTCATTAGAGGCGACTAATGGGATTGGGTGGTCAGGCTTTGTTGATGCATGTCATTGTATCCCAATTGCGGAGATCGATGCTCATGTCAATCACTGGATTGTCTAGTCCAGACTCGATTATTTACAGACAGCTTTCATAGAGCTGGAATGTTGCTGGGTGTGGCATTGAACAACAAACAAAAAAAAAACTTGTGAGAGGAGTTCTTGAACGAGCATGGATACTGTCATTTGTGATTAACTTATCAAGATAATAGGAACATGGTGGGATTGACATTCTCAGAGATTTCATGTTTTGTTTTTGCAGTATTAAAGTCATGAGATATTTGTCAACCAAAATTGTAATCTCTTTTCAGGAGGAGAGAAGGGCCAATGTACCAAAGTACAAGCGAGGGGGACTGAGTGTGTCCCTCTCTGGTTCAATACCCCCTCCTATACAGCCTCCAATGATGGCCGCTGGTGGCATGATGCAAGCAGGTGGGTAGATAGTTGGATGAGAAACAGGATCAGGCAGTACAAAGCTGCAAATAAGATTTAATAAAAATTACATTGTACAAGATTCTTTGATATCTTGAGTTGTTGCTTACGAGTCGTCCCTTTCTTTTCGTAGGTAATGGTGGCAATGCAAGAATGAGGCCAGGTAAGTAAATAAAAAAAACAATCCCCGTTTATGAATTATGCACAGCTGAACAAGGTCTTCACAATCATGTATATTATGTACTGATGGTCATTTCCAAAGTCCCAGCTGCTTTGCTGTATATTATCATCTGAGATTAACACGATTTATGAATTCTGAAGAGACATAAACTCAACATGTTCTTATGTGGATAAAAACTTGTCAAACTCAGTCACCATCAGCTGTAAACCAAACAACACAACTGAAACAAACCCATTATCACTACATCACACTTGCTGATTAGTGAACCTTATTTAATGTCAATTGCGATCACTGTAGCAGCCGCAACTGTCCCACCAATTGGTAGTGTATCAACATTGTCACAGCTTATTGTTGCAACCCTCACATGTTAAACCAGTCACTGGTTTAGTTATCACTAAAATTATTTCCAAATCATCAACTGTCACCTCGCCTGCATATTTATTACAAACAACTTTAACCGATCTCGTATAGCAAGACAATTGTTATTTAAAAAAAACCCTAAAACATTGCTGAGTTGAATTGAAGTTGACATCACCAGTTTCATCAGTTTAGTTTGTCATGTTCACACTTTTTTACTAGCTTTACTGAATTTACTACAAGGCTCGATTTAGCTATATAAAAGGTATACTAGTGCAACCAGATACTGAAAAATGCTATCTATTATTTATTTCTACATGTGTCCAGTATGTCAGAATTTTATGGATAATAAATCATGCATTGACATTGGCAGTGGTTCTGTTTGTGGAAGTCAGATTCTGTTACAAGTACTATTAGTAATGTTGCTAGACCTAGAACTACATCTGCCGCAAGTGTTGGAAGTACTACTGTCAGTATAGTTAATAGGTACTGATATAAATGCAACATGGTTTAGTCCATCTTCTCGAGGCAAGGGTGTTAGCTAACTATAAAAGTCCAGTTTCCACCCTTGCCAAACTAGGCTGGAATACCTGGGTTACATTTTCGCTGGACTAACATGTCTATGCATAGAACAATCAAAATCCCGTAACGAACTAGACATTCTGTTCTTAAACAACATGGATTTCGACATGCAGATTTCGGTCGACTTAAGAATTTAGTGAACATGCACCGAGTGCAAGCTATATCTCGTTCGTTAAATCAAGCCCTGTACTATAAGAATAATATGTTTGAGATGAGTGCAGCATCTGTTTCAATGTTAACAATCCTCTGTTACAGTAACTTACACAACATGTTCTTGTTTCCAGGACCAATGATGGGCAACTCTCCAATGGGGGGCAACAATGGTGGCAACTTCAACATGGGCGGGTACCAGGGGGGTGGCGGCAATATGATGCAGCAACCTCAACACATGGCTCAGGGTGGGCGGTACTGACTACTCGGGGTGGGGCCTAGGTCTCAGTATTGTTTTAATTATCATCATAACTCATTGTCATGTAAAATATCATGTATTCATAATGTGACACTGCCAAGCCAGAGTGACACTGCGAGAGGTAGGTCCTGACATGAGTGTCAAGCTAGACTAAGTACTCTCCCGGTAAGTCACATTGTTTCATGTACAAATGGATTTTTTACTTTTGTCCGTCTCTTGATCCACGAGTACTTGACAGGTTTGTAATTGTAATAAAATGTGAATAAAAAGTGTATTTAAATGGCTTGTGTTTGACCATTTTAGCGCTAGTGCTATGTTCCAGAAATGGATTTACCTGCACAAACTGGTTAGTACAATTAACTTTCATGGCTTTTATGATATTCTTAGGTAATTATTTCTAAATATTAAATAATAAAACAAGAAAATAATTTAGATCACTACTGGATTCCACTGAAAGTACATCTCTCTTCTTTTTTTTCCACACCTTAGAATGTTCTCTAATTATTGGTCCAAAGTTCAGGTTAAAGAGAATTTATTGATCGAAGAAGTTAACACGTCATTGCTGTTAGAAAGGTTGACTATTGAAGCTGGGTTCTGACCAGGAAGGAGGTTAGTTCACTGTGCTTGTGTGTGTCGGTGATACTTTAAGTTGCATTAAAACTTTCATTTTGCATGTCTGCTACTAGCACCATCTTGAATTTTGTAGAACTGGAATTAACCTTGTGTAAATTATCTGTACTGAGAATGGATGTCTACCATCAGTGTTCAAGGCAAGTGAAACATCACAGCGACAGTATTTGCCAGCTGTTGGGCTTTTCCTGGCCCCCAACTGCGGTTGGTGATGTGTTTATATTCTCTCCATATTTGTAGTATTAGGGCTGTTCAAAATGGATCACTATCAGGCAAGTGGTCACAGCAGTACTTTGCTGTTGGGCTAATATTTTTAAGGCCCCCAACTATATTGTTGGTGACAAACATTTTCTATTTCATTCATTGAAAAATCTTTATGCAGAAATATCAAATATTTCTACATACATTTTCTGAACATAAGAGATGTTTCTACTGCATGTTGTACATGTTTTTAAGTACAAACTACTAGTGCAGGTAACACTCAGTATTTTAGAATTCTACTGTTTATTATTCAAAGGAAATATTTAAAATGTTTGAAACTGCAAGCATAACCATATTTTTCACATTACTCTTGAAAGTTAACATTCAGTGAGGTGTTTGGCTTCGTGTGACTAGATCTTGCCAAATTATTGCTTTATTCTTGATCTTTAGTCACAGCGGTCATAGCTGTTGGGCTTTCGTGGCCCCCAACAATATGTTGGCGACTTCCGTGCATTGTTGATCCATATCTTCTAAGTCTCGTCCTAGGGTTAAGCCGGAGAACCTCTAGGCTTCAAGATAACGCTCCCAAGTATATTATGACGACAGCTGTTAAATAGTTCCACTAGCGAAGCATGGACCAGAATCAAAATAGATAAACATGGTGAGTACCTCGGCGGTAGGTACTGCACTGGTAATAACTTGAATAGTTGCTGTTATTTAATAAGCACCACAAGAAGCTTCATTGTATATGGACTCCACCACAACTAAAATGGATGAAACACAATAACAATGGTTGTATTGCCTATTTTGATAAAAATATGTTCTAACTTTTACTGATACATTACAAGTAGTCAGCTCAGTTCAAGTCACTTAAGATACAGTTAGGAATTTCATATATGCATCATTTATTAACAGGGGGGTGAGGGGAAGAACATGACAATACATGTAAGCTCTTACATCGATGTGGGACAATATGGCCACAATCAATCTACATGGGTGCTGAGAGGTTTCAACTTGCATTCATGTATAGATGCACTACACGTGCTACATACTGTGGCTGTGCGTCAGTATGAGGATTGGTGCGAGCAGGTCAAAGCAACCCAGGAAAAAGTGTCTGGTTTATATGGTGCTCATGACTCAAGATTCCTTTATCCTGAATAATGGCATTTCTATGAGGCCAAGCCAAGAATCTAGCAAGGATGTGCAGAGCAAACAGTATTGATGTGACACTCAAAGGATGATTTGTGTGTTGCATGTTTGTTTTCTGAAAGATGTTTTTGGGAAGTCATCTGAATGTCAGAAAGCTCTGGTTGTCTTCATGTGGAGGAACCCTTCTTTGAGGTTACAAGAGCCATTGGAGAGAATAAGTCTACGAAAGAATCATGTTTAAGATACTGTGAGCCGAATTGGATGAAATGAATTTTGCCCCAGATTGATTTGGCGTTGATTGATGCTCATGTCAATCACTGGCTTGTCTGGTCCAGACTCGGTTATTTACAGACCGCCGTCATGTAGCTGGAATGTTGCTGAGTGTGGTGTTAAACAACAAACAAACTACAAAGGATTTGAGGTCACTTGTCAGCACCATACCTGTGCTCGTGGGTTTCATCAAAGTGGTAAAGGTCTGAGACCTGCATCACTTCGGGCTTTCCTCCCACATTAAGCTGACATGCCGTGATATAACTGGAATACTGTTAAAAGCGGTGTGAAACCCAACTCACTCACTCACTCCTTTTTTTTTCCACATTGAATTCCACCTAGAGACTTCACAATTGGGTTTTATGCTGGAGAGCCCTTTTGTATGTTCTCAAATATGACACCTGATGTTACTGAAATTTACTGTCGAGGTTATACATAAAATGATATGTTCACAATCAACTCAAGAAGTGTTGACTGTATTAAGATGAAATCTGGTACATAGATTTCTTATAGTGCCACATTGAAGTGGGAAGGTTTTGAGTGACCTTCATGTAAGTTGAAGGTCACTGGAATGGTCCTTCTTAATGTATTTCTGCTTCTGTGTGTTCTGAACCAATAAGGTAGCTGGAGGCATGGGACTTTGTTTCAAAGTTGCATTGGGTACATTTTGTCCCAAACTGGAAGTTGAGTTATGAAAGTACAAAGTTGTATGAATCAGACAAGGGATTGAAGATGAAAATTGGGTGTGGTCAGCTGTCTTTAAAAAGTGAAAATGGTTGTTCATGCCATTCTGGTGGGAAGTTGAGGAGTGTTCAGGAAAAGGAGTTGGGCTGCTGCTATTTTTCCTTGCAGTACAAACAGCTTTCTAGTTTGTTTTCTTTCATTGTTTGGAGAATACAAAGTCGGAGATGTTTGGCATATATGCATTGTATATGTGTATGGTATATATGAGACAAACAGTTCTTTTCTGGAAGTGTAGATCATTTATACAGTTAAAGATGTATTACCTGAATTCTTTGTGAACAATAACTCAACATTATTATGCAGGATACCACATTCAATAAATACAGTATTCCCACTGGAGAAATCAGTGATCATCTGTCCATTCAATAAATTGTTATTCATCTTGACATGTCGTGTAAACATTGTTATTTTTAAGTCAGAAATGTTGAAATAAAAACATATGCCCAACTATTTTTGACTTTTCAATTTGGGAACAGCTGAAGAGCACAGAGAATGATGCCCAAATATATTATTATTATTTTTTATCAAGACCGGCAATCCTTTCAGCTCAGTGTTGCACCTGAATGTTTGGAATATTACCTGTATGTATGTATATAATATCAAGTAACAATTCAAAAAGACTAAAATTCATGCTCTACAGTGGTAAACATTTGACACCTGCATCACATAAGGCTTTCTTCCCACATTAAGCTGACACTCCATGATAGAACTGAAATACTGTGCAAAGCGAGGTTAACACTCCAATCCCTGATTGTTGGTATGTTTTCGCTGAGCTCATCCTCATTGTTGTATAACAAATACTGTTAAAATCGAGGTCGCTCACAATGTCCAATACAAACAAATGCTGTTGCTTGAAGCTGCACTTGGCTTTATTCCACGTGGGGTATTTGACAGTCTCACTGCCATAGCCACCCGCGGTGGGGGGCAGTTGCTCCCCTGGATTTTTGATAGAAAACATTTTTCCTTGTGAACGTTAACTTGAATAAGAAATGAATAATCTTATTTGCCCCACCTGTCAAAAAAAAGTTAACTATACAGCCTTGAGTCTACATATAATCGAGTCAGGACCATACAATCCTGTGATTGACCTTATGAGCATTAATCAACACAATTGGGATGACAACATCCATGAACAGACTAAGCAAGCCTTATTCATATCTCACGGTAATGTTTGACAAATGGACCAAATTTAATTGAAAGTGCATATTACCTTATAATTGTAGGTAAAGACAATGTACTTTAATCACATTAAAAAAATTATAACATTTTGACTAAGTAATGGAAACCAGTATACACAATCAGAAAAGTCGCACATTTTATTAACCCAATCCCTGGTAAGCCATGTTGGGATTCCAGGTTAGAATTGATGAACCAGTAATCTTTGCAATCTTCAACATTCAAGGCTTGGTTGATTGTGGGCCATCGTACGCTGATGGTGTGGATTGTTCACTATAACATTCTCTGGATTATCCAGTCCAGAGTATATATTCAGCTGGTCATAGCTGTTGTTTTACGCCGAACTCCGCAATATTCCATCTGTATGATGGCGGTCTGTAAATATTCTAGACTGGACCAGACAATCCAGTGAGTGACATGTGCATCATATGGCTGTAATATTGCTCAGTTAGGCATCAAACAACAAAATTGTTATAAATGATGGAAATGCTGACCATTCTGCCTGAGAACTTTGAAATGGATGAAGTACTCATAAAATATTGTCAAAATATTTTTATTTTTTCTATAACCTCTATATACACAACATAAGTCGTGGCTATATGCAAAGACATGAGGTAGTGTATCCTAGAGAAATGATGGAGAGAGTGGAGCTGGTTTGGTTAAATGCATAGGTATTAAGTACATTTATCATTTGGTTAAAACAAAGCAAGTCTTGTGCTCTGATAGTATGACCAACATAAACGTTGACACATTAAACAGACTTTCTAATCTAAATGAAGGAATTCTACTTCTTCAATTTTTCAAGTGTATGGGTATATGATTGTGTGAAAAATATGGAATGTACACTTCTGCTTGCCAGTTAAGTTTTCACTGTTGTCCTGTGACCCGTCGCATCATCATTAGGGCAGTAGCTCCATTGTCTGCAGGAACCTGTTGACAGTCAACATCTAAGGTAAAAATCTAAGGTAAAACAGTGTAACAGCACTGTAGCTCACACGGTTACGTTGTCAACAGCTTATACGTGGTCCTGTGCACAGGGCACAAATCCGGTGCAACATTGGTCCCAGACAGTCCTTGGATTGGTGACAGCGTTTTGGCAGCTTGGCTCTTGACAGTTTCTAGGGCATCGGTTGGTTGGTTGGTTTGTTGTTTAATACCGCACTCAACAATATGACGGCGGTCTGTAAATAATCCAGTCTGGACCAGACAATCCAGTGATTGGTATCAAGAGCATCGATCCACGCAACTGGCATGCTTCAACCAAGTCAGCGAGCCTGACCACCCGATCCCGTTAGTCGCCTCTTACGACAAGCATAGTTGCCTTTTTCGGCAAACATGGGTTGCTGAAGACCTATTCTTACACGGATCTTCACGGGTCTCTAGGGCTTCGGTCCTGCCCCACACTGAAGCACATGTAACACATGTGGTGTCTCTTTAGTCAAGTGACTTTGTTCGAAATGTGCCTCTGTTCACATTCATGTAGCAGTGAATGGATACCCGGTAGGATGAGATGACAATGTGGTGGTTAACCTTCTAGAGCCGAACAGGCGGCTTAGGTTGTATGCTGAGCTGAGAATTATTCTTGAGTGCACATTGATCCAGTGACCGGGGTTATAGTAGCGCTTTTGAGTATGCCCCCCAGTGGTGTGGAAATATGCACAATATAAATAGAACATTTATTATAAAGAAAGCTGCTTAACAAAACTTGCTGTCAGCATTGATATTCAGATATCTTCTGTATAAATACTGAAAACTAACACAAGTATCCTGATAATTTGAACACAATTACATTACTCCTTAGTTTTTTAATATGGCAGCCATATTGAAAATAGGATTTGATACCTTTTTAGCAAATTGGGGTGTCATTATTGGTAAGAAAAAGTATGTTTCAGCATCATTGGTAGTGTGGTTTCCGAGAAGATGATGTTTTTACGACAGATTGTGGACAAGTCGGCTACGACATATCAACTTTCCATTTGACATTAATGTATTTATGTTACCATAGTAAAAGTTACATTGCTGACTAGCATGCCTCACGGACATCTGACAATAACAGTGACATGTTCTATCCTGAGATTCAACTCACCATGTGACCAGCCTTCAGTATCCAGTAAAAGGAGAAGTTTTTGGCAGTCTTCACAAACCCATTAGTGATTCCGTGAACCATGAGTGGTGTCCTGATGGCCTCTTTGAACATGTCGGCAATCTGCAGTCGATACACCCATGCCTCTGTGCCTGAAGGAAACCAATTGGTCACATATCCAGGAAGTACTCAAGGTCAGATCATCAAACGGAAACCTTGATTTACATCACTAATTCAACCACTTACACTTTCATAGATTAAAGGACAAATGGTCACACAAATATTCATTATCCTTGGTTCAAGAAAAAAATATCTTCAGGGTAGTGTGAATAAATTTGATTTAAAATGAGGCTGACCCACCCAGTGTCTCCACAACGAGGCTGTCCCACAGAGTGTCTCCACAATGAGGCTGGCCTACCAAGTGTCTCCACAATGAGGCTGGCCTACCGAGTGTCTCCACAATGAGGTTGACCTATCTAGTGTCTCCACAATGAGGCTGACCAACATAGTGTCTCCACAATGAGACTGACCTACATAGTGTCTCCACAATGAGGCTGACCTACCTAGTGTCTCCACAATGAGGCTAACAGTGTGTCTCCACAATGAGACTGTCCTACCGAGTGTCTCCACAATGAGACTGACCTACCGAGTGTCTCCACAATGATTCTGACCTACCGAGTGTCTCCACAATGATTCTGACCTACCGAGTGTCTCCACAATGATTCTGACCTACCGAGTGTCTCCACAGTGAGGCTGACCTACCTAGTGTCTCCACAATGAGGCTGACCTACCGAGTGTCTCCACAGTGAGGCTGACCTTCCGAGCGTCTCCACAATGATTCTGACCTACCTAGTGTCTCCACAATGAGGCTGACCTATCGAGTGTCTCCACAATGAGACTGACCTTCCGAGTGTCTCCACAGTGAGGCTGACCTACCTAGTGTCTCCACAATGAGGTCCAGCTGTCCACTGTACACTACAACCTCCAGTGTGGTTTCAATCACCAGATAGTCCACTGGAACAAGATGTAACTACACATTAGATCACTGAATTGCCCTGTATAGTACCTCAGAATGTTTGAGCTTTAATGAGGTAGCATGGTATTGGTTATTGGGATAGCAGGATTTAAATAACAGATGAAATAGTTACTTGTATTTTATGATGAGTACACACTGCATTGAGGATCAATACCGGAAAACACAGGAACAGGGGTCAGCTGCCAACATCCTACCTATTTCTGTGACTGGCTTCATGAAGTCTCCCTGCTGTTTCACAAACACCATTCCTGACTGACCTGTAAGTACAATTCTACCAGGTAAATTAGGTAATTACTCCATTCTGATTCACCTCAATCAGAGGTTTCAAATCACAATAACCACCTCTGAAACAGCGCATTTGACATCCACTGATGGGCTGCAATCCATTTTGGCCAGGAACCAGGACAAAAATTGACTAAAAAGGTATTTCAAGTTTGAGGGACAACAGAGACGTTTAAATTTGGCACATTTCTATATCTGATCGTGACGTCGCATCTTTTGTGTCCCAAACAATTTGATGTCATGGTGACCAGCAGTGTAGACCTTAACCTTGAAAGGGTTACTTAATTTGGGGGGTAGCCACTTCATGTGGCTTACGAAATAGTTGTGCTAAACACTAAGAATGCCTGTCATTTATTTGAGCAATGTATTATGCATCTACTGTGCATATCTTGTTTAAAGGCTATTATGAGTGTTTTGCTTAATTCCAATCAACAATGCACTCAAAATATTTTGCACATGTAGATTCATTCAACATATTTGTAAAACCAGTGAATTAACATGGTTAAATCTACAGGTATTACCTGTAAGCTTGCATTACATTGAACATAAACATTGTTACAAAAGGATGACATCAAAGAATCTCACAACAAAGTGCAATATATATATATACTACTATACTATACTATACTATACTATAAGAATTAGTGAGTGAGTTTGGTTTTACTCCGCTTTTTGCAATATTCCGGCAATATCACGGCAGGGGACACCAGAAATGGGCTTCACACATTGTACCCATGTCGGGAATCAAACCCGGGTCTTCGGCGTGTCGCGCGAACGCTTTAACCACTAGGCTACCCGACCGCCCCTACTTAAAAGAAGTTAAAGTACGCCTGATTTTTCATATTATGACAGTTGATATGTCATGCCATGACAGATTAACTTTTGTTGTTTCATGCCGCACTCAGCAATATTCACACTATGTGACGGCGGTCTGTAAATAATCCAGACAATCCAGTGATTGATATGATGAGCATCAATCCACACAATTGGATCAAGTCAGTGAGCCTGACCACCCGATCACGTGAGTCGCCTTTTACGACAAGCATAGTCGCTTTTAACGGCAAGCATGGGTTGCTGAAGACATATTCTACCCTGGACCTTCAGGGGTCTATCGTAATATGAAAGAATGGGGTGTTCTTTACCTTCTTTGTAGTAATATAGGAGAGTAAAATGTACGGATTTTGACAATGACAAAATGCACAGATATTTACATATGTGCTGATGTTGGTAGCTATGACAACCCACCTCCCCAGGTAACATTCCTCGGGATGATCTTCAGCTTCTCTCTGATTGGTCCGTTCATCAGCTGGTCCAGCGACATGGCTTGGAGTGGCGCAACATGGCGTTGATATAACTTTTCTGACAAACAAGATCATACATGACTTGGGCATCATGTCAACACACTTTACAGTCTTGGATGTCTATTAGGGCTGACCAGTTAATATTTTGGGAGAAACTTTTGTTTGAGACAGCCATTTATTGTGACTTGCCAAACTTTGAATGTCAAGAGATGTGCTTTTTTTTATAAACATCTAACTTACTCACTGCCATAGTTGTTTCATACATATCAAAGGGAGTGGTTTTTTTCACTTTTCATCATGATTATATTAATATTTAGTTATTAAATATTTAATAAACAACTGAACTGTAATAAATACAATGCAACACAATTGTAGATATATCTAAATATTTCTTTATAAATGCTATGATTTTTATTAATCAAAAATGTTCTTTTAATATTATTCAAATCACATATAAGATTCTTCAATCAACAATCATTACATTTCCTGCATGTTTTCTTTGTTTGTTTGATATTCCAGCAATTTGACAGCAGTTTGTAAATAATTGAGACCAGACTATCCAGTGATTGATATCATGAGCATCAATCTACGCAATTGGGACACCATGACATGCATCAATCAATCAAGCGAGTCTGATAACCCGATCCTGTTAGTCGCATGTTATGACTAGCATAGTTGCCTGTTACGGAAAGCATGGGTAGATGAAGAACTATTCTACCCAGATCTTCAAGGGCCACACTTTCTTTGTGAATGGATGTGATAACTGTATCAAGGTCATAACTCCATTAGGGCACCATTATTTGGATAAATCTGTAATCAACGGAATTTCTGAATTTTCAAACAAGACCACTCCTGCTTGATCTACAAGACCATACAGGAACTGCTAGACTGATGTCACATGACAGGAAGAGGAATTGTGGGAAATTTATATGGGAATACTCAATGCTGGTGATAAGCATGATAAGTTAATGAAAATTTTAAACTACTGTAGCAGGGCGTGGAGTCATCCCACAGCTGACATCCTTACCTTGTCAGCTTGCTGATGGGGTTGACCTCTTTGGTCATGTGGACAAGGCGTCCAAGCTCTTGATCAGAAGGTCCATGGTTCGAATCCCATCACGGAACTCATTGTGGGGCTGAGCAAGTTCATATTAAACCTAGTTTATTAAAATAAGTTTCAGTACCCTTCTAATGCAGCCCATGGACCATGCCTCCTGTTGACGGGGGAGTATGTAGCAGGACATGGTGTCATCCCAAAACAGATATCCTTACCTTGTCAGCTTGCTGACAGGGTTAACCTTTGGTCATGTGGACATGACGTCAGACCTCATATCAGAAGGTCCGTGGTTCGAATCCTGTCAAGGGTCTCAGAAATCTTAGGGCCACTATAATTACTTCAAAACTTAATTACTTCTTTGTACAATCCATTTTAATGCTGCCATTACTGATATAACATGAACAATTTAATAAATGGTTAGTGTTTGATGTACTCATTTGTTAACAAAGGTTTGACACAACCAGGCCCTGCTCATTATAAAGGAATCTGACTGTAGAGTGGTTTGTGAGGCAGTTTCACATACCTAGATATGTGAGATCCTGTCTGTCTGCCACCCTCACTCGCTCACTGCCACCCCAGTCTAGGATGTTGTAGAAGTTGACACCATTCGTCACTTTCTCCACAACATTTTCAGTTGTGCCCCACTGCTCTGTTGCTTTGACCCACTGGCCTTGTTGAACCAGGTCCGCTGTCTCTTGTGCCGAATTATTCACAGCTTCCAATCCCTTCCGGTCTACCAGTGACTACAACAGTTGCACCAATACCTGACACAACACATCAACAGTTTGCACCAATACATGACACAACACACGAACAGTTGAACCAATGCCTGACACAACACACCAACAGTTGCACCAATGCCTGACACAACAGACCAACAGTTGCACCAATACATGACACAACACATCAACAGTTTGCACCAATACATGACACAACACACGAACAGTTGAACCAATGCCTGACACAACACACCAACAGTTGCACCAATGCCTGACACAACACACCAACAGTTGCACCAATACCTGACACAACAGACCAACAGTTGCACCAATACATGACACAACACACCAACAGTTGCACCAATTCCTGACACAACACACCAACAGTTGAACCAATGCCTGACACAACACAGTTGCACCAATACCTGACACAACACAGTTGCACCTATACCTGATACAACACAGTTGCACCAATACCTGATACAACACACGAACAGTTGCACCAATACCTGACACAACACACCAACAGTTGCACCAATACCTGATACAACACAGTTGCACCTATACCTGATACAACACAGTTGCACCAATACCTGATACAACACAACACAGTTGCACCAATACCTGATACAACACACGAACAATTGCACCAATACCTGACACAACACACCAACAGTTGCACCTATACCTGACACAACACAGTTCCACCTATACCTGATACAACACAGTTGCACCAATACCTGACACAACACACGAACAGTTGCACCAATACCTGACACAACACACGACTAGTTGCACCAATACCTGATACAACACAGTTGCACCAATACCTGACACAACACATGAACAGTTGCACCAATACCTGATACAACACAGTTGCATCAATACCTGACACAACACACGACTAGTTGCACCAATACCTGACACAACACAGTTGCACCAATACCTGACACAACACAGTTGCACCAATACCTGACACAACACACGAACAGTTGCACAAATACCTGATACAACACAGATGCACCAATACCTGACACACCAACAGTTGCACCAATACCTGACACAACACACCAACAGTTGCACCAATACCTGACACAACACACCAACAGTTGCACCAATACCTGACACAACACACCAACAGTTGCACCAATACCTGACACAACACACCAACAGTTGCACCAATACCTGACACAACACACCAACAGTTGAACCAATTCCTCACACAACACAGTTGCACCTATACCTGATACAACACAGTTGCACCAATACATGACACAACACACCAACAGTTGCACCAATACCTGACACAACACACCAACAGTTGCACCAATACCTGACACAACACACCAACAGTTGCACCAATACCTGACACAATACACCAAGAGTTGAACCAATTCCTCACACAACACAGTTGCACCTATACCTGATACAACACAGTTGCACCAATACATGACACAACACACCAACAGTTGCACCAATACCTGACACAACACACCAACAGTTGCACCAATACCTGACACAACACACCAACAGTTGCACCAATACCTGACACAACACACCAACAGTTGCACCAATACCTGACACAATACACCAAGAGTTGAACCAATTCCTCACACAACACACCAACAGTTGCACCAATACCTGACACAACACACCAACAGTTGCACCAATACCTGACACAACACACCAACAGTTGCACCAATACCTGACACAACACACCAACAGTTGCACCAATACCTGACACAATACACCAACAGTTGAACCAATTCCTCACACAACACAGTTGCACCAATACCTGACACAACACACCAACAGTTGCACCAATACCTGATACAACACAGTTGCACCAATACCTGACACAACACACGAACAATTGCACCAATGCCTGACACAACACACCAACAGTTGCACCAATACCTGACACAACACACCAACAGTTGCACCAATACCTGACACAACACACCAACAGTTGCACCAATACCTGACACAACACACCAACAGTTGCACCAATACCTGACACAATACACCAAGAGTTGAACCAATTCCTCACACAACACAGTTGCACCTATACCTGATACAACACAGTTGCACCAATACATGACACAACACACCAACAGTTGCACCAATACCTGACACAACACACCAACAGTTGCACCAATACCTGACACAACACACCAACAGTTGCACCAATACCTGACACAACACACCAACAGTTGCACCAATGCCTGACACAACACACCAACAGTTGCACCAATGCCTGACACAATACACCAACAGTTTCACCAATTCCGCACACAACACAGTCGCACCAATACCTGACTCAACACACCAACAGTTGCACCAATACCTGACACAACAGACCAACAGTTGCACCAATACCTGACACAACACACCAACAGTTGCACCAATACCTGACACAACACACCAACATTTGCACCAATGCCTGACACAACACACCAACAGTTGCACCAATTCCTCACACAACACACCAACAGTTGCACTAGGTGCTAAAGACTGTCTACAAGTCGTATCTCTTGTATTTCTGTATCAGCAACCTGTGACGAGGCTTGTAGCCTACAAAGACACATTAATGAATGTTAAGATGAAGGTCGAAAGGCCATTTCTCACATTTGTGTAGAGGTAGGGTCCCCAGGCTAGGACAGAGTCGATCGGAGAGATCCAGGAGTCTCCAAGGGCGATGCCACGGAAGTCACACGTCACCGACTTGGACTGGATAGCCTGAGGATGATATGGTGTGTTATCACTGGCAGTCACTAAATGCATATAATCACACATGTGCGACACAAGTCTCAACATTTGGAAGTAGACTGACTGACAAGATTCAATGTACATCACAGACTCATTGTCAGAAACTAAGGCCAGATATATTAAACAAGCCTACACTAATTTTGCAAAAGAAATTGAAATTTAACTCATTATACCAAAATATTAGCACATATCTTTCAGCATTATCTGTGATACAAAATGTCTATTGAAATTAATGGTGAAGAAAATGGAGAGACATACTCGTTAATAGAATGGAGAGACATACTAGTTAATAGAATGGAGAGACATACTAGTTAATAGAATGGAGAGACATACTCGTTAATAGAATGGAGAGACATACTCGTTCATAGAATGGAGAGACATACTCGTTCATAGAATGGAGAGACATACTCATTAATAGAATGGAGAGACATACTAGTTAATAGAATGGAGAGACATACTCGTTAATAGAATGGAGAGACATACTCGTTAATAGAATGGAGAGACATACTTGTTAATAGAATGGAGAGACATACTAGTTAATAGGTGAGGTGAAATTGGGTTTAACATCACTTTCCAGATTATTGCACTCATATAGCGTCGTCAAGGGCGGATCCAGCCTTTTTAAAAGGCATAGGTCCAAAATATCAAAATCCTCTCTAAGGAAGAGAGAGAGTTGTCCACAACATTCTACATTTGGTTTTCAAAGGGGGAAAAAGTCAAGAAAAAGGCTGATTTTATAGTGCTAGCCCACTGAGATACCACAGTTTAACATGAATAACGCAATCAGACACAATATACTGACTCCAAGTTGACCAGTCCTTGTTTTAGCCCCATAATGCTCTGTGCCAGGCAGGGTAACAACAGGTACCATCTTTAATGTACACTAGGGAAGAGAATGGAGAGATATATACCAACCTTGTAAAGGACCTGGGCAAAGGCAGAGGTCATCTTCCCACCATAGGACTCGGTGAACACATAGAAGGGCACACCCTGTATAACACATGGAGCAATTTACGCATGGGAAAGCAAATTACACATGGGAGAGAAATTTACACATGGAGCAGCAATTAGCACATGGGGTAGCAATTAAAACATGAAAGATGCGATAACAACAGATTTTAAGCAAACTTTTTTAAAACCTTTCTCTAGAATGTACCTTTATGTCTCTACAGTCTTGTCAGGTGTTTATCTGGGCCCGCTCAGAGGCACAGTATTGGGCACAGTGGTAATAAGTGGGTCTAGCACAATGCAGACTAACCCTTTCTTTTCACAATTGGACAGTTTGATTACATCATTTAGATTTATAATAATACATAAACTATCACAAAAAAGGTTAAACACTCTTGATACAGATCAGTAGGCATCCTTAATACTAGTCTTTCCCAGGAAGATTTGTCTTGAAGACAAGGATAATCAATTTACACATTTTACACATCAATGTTTTAATTGCGACTATAAATGCATTTCATTCCCTTCAACAACAAAGTGTCGTCAAATATGAGTCGATGATTAACTACATCCTCATCCCACCCACCTGAAACTCTGGCGCCTTCTTGAGGAAAGCCTGGAAGGTGGTGAGGAGATCTGCAGCTATCATCTGAACATCCGTGGTGTAGGCGTCGTCATTGTCAACATAGCTGAAGCCTGTGCCAACGGGGTTGTCAACAAACAGCAGGCTGGCTGTGGACAGCTGAAAAAACATCATGTCATGTTTGGTCTGGTGTGTGGAGTATGTTTGGTCTGGTGTGTGGAATATGTTTGGTCTGGTGTGTGGAATATGTTTGGTCTAATGTGTGGAATATGTTTGGTCTGGTGTGTGGAATATGTTTGGTCTGGTGTGTGGAATATGTTTGGTCTGGTGTGTGGAATATGTTTGGTCTGGAGTGTGGAATATGTCTGGTCTAATGTGCGGATTATGTTTGGTCTGTGTGTGGAATATGTTTGGTCTGGTGTGTGGAATATGTTTGGTCTGTGTGTGGAATATGTTTGGTCTGGTGTGTGGAATATGTTTGGTCTAATGTGTGGAATATGTTTGGTCTGTGTGTGGAATATGTTTGGTCTGGTGTGTGGAATATGTTTGGTCTAATGTGTGGAATATGTTTGGTCTGGTGTGTGGAATATGTTTGGTCTGGTGTGTGGAATATGTTTGGTCTGGTGTGTGGAATATGTTTGGTCTGGAGTGTGGAATATGTCTGGTCTAATGTGCGGATTATGTTTGGTCTGTGTGTGGAATATGTTTGGTCTGGTGTGTGGAATATGTTCGGTCTGATGTGTGGATTATGTTTGGTCTGGTGTGTGGAATATGTTTAGTCTGGTGTGTGGATTATGTTTGGTCTGGTGTGTGGAATATGTTTAGTCTGGTGTGTGGATTATGTTTGGTCTGGTGTGTGGAATATGTTTGGTCGGGTGTGTGGAATATGTTCGGTCTGATGTGTGGATTATGTTTGGTCTGATGTGTGGAATATGTTCGGTCTGATGTGCGGAATATGCCTGGTCTAATTTGTGGATTATGTTTGGTCTGGTGTGTGGAATATGTTTGGTCTAATGTGCGGATTATGTTTAGTCTGGTGTGTGGATTATGTTTGGCCGATGTGCGGATTATGTTTGGTCAGGAATGTGGATTATGTTTGGTCTGGAGTGTGGATTATGTTTGGTCCTGGGTGTGGAATATGTTTGGTCTGGAGTGTGGATTATGTTTGGTCCTGGGTGTGGATTATGTTTGGTCTGGAGTGTGGATTATGTTTGGTCCTGGGTGTGGATTATGTTTGGTCTGGTGTATGGAATATGTTTGGTCTAGTGTGTGTCTAAATCAAGTCTTTAATGACAAAATCGCAATTCTTTTTTCATGAGTCAACACAAAGAAATATCCTACAGGTATTCTCAAAAACATATCTCCAGCAGAATTCGGATTCAGAAACAAGACGAGACCTAGCTTCTTCCCCATGTACCAAGATTTATAGATCACTAAATGATACAGCAACAGGATGCTAGTCATCAGGGTGTGCGTGTAGAGAGTCGATGGTGCCCACTTACCCAGGTCGTGTTCCTTGGACGCTGCTGGACATCTAAAGGGCCAATTTCCTCAAAATTGCCAAAACCAGTGGACGATCCACCTGGGCCTCCCTGTACAATATAAGCAAACAGTCATCCACAATGGTTTCTGATTTCAATGCCATGAAATGGACGCCAGCTTGTGTTACAGCAGAAGTGTGACACCACATCAGCATCCAACACTCTTCCTTGTCACAACATCTGTACAAAGTTACACATTTGGGGGTCAGAGCCAAAATTATATACTTTTTTAATTTCCTGTTGTAGTTTATCTTTAAAACAATCCAGAATTTAAAAAACAAACAAGAGGAAATACATCAGCAAACAGCAATATTGATTGCAAAGTCTAAAAGAAACAGAAGACTTAAGAAACACTGAATACTCACTGGTATTTCTTTCATCCATGTTATTAAATTAAAATGGTTTTTTTTAATGGAACTGGATTCAATAATTTTAAGAATGCATAATTAATATTAAATAATCTCTGCACACCTGTAACCACATGACAAGGGGAGCCTTGGAGCTGGGGGAGGTGGTTCGGTACAGCCAGTAGAACATATGGGCCCCGGGACGCACATCCACATACGCCCATTCCTGGTCAGCGCCCCCTGGTGACGAGTATCTCATCCAGTCGTCTTGTAGTGGGAAGAAAAAACACAACTTAGCTGGAATGTTATATTGTGAAACTTTCTTGTGGCCCTACATCTGGTACAGTACATTAATATTGCAGCTTCTCGTCAACTAAATCACAGGAGTTCTATTTAAAAATGGATACATAGAAATTATTACCTTTGTGTGCTTTTGTATGTCTTAAGGTTTGATTATTTTATTAATGACATTATATGACAAAGAGGTTATTACCCTCATGTGTTTTTGTATTGTAAATATTGTACATTAGAAATATAATTGTATTTGAGCCTTATAAACACTTTTATATGCCTCATATATGACACTTATGATACAAAAACACACTAAGGTAATAATATCTTTGTCATATGTCGACCCGTGAAGATCCGGGTTAGAACAGGTCTTCAGCAACCCATGCTTGTCGTAAGAGGCGAATAACAGGATCGGGTGGTCATGCTCACTAATGCATGTCATCATATCCTAATTGCATAAATTGATGCTCATGATGTCAATCACTGGATTGTCTGGTCCTGACTCGATTATTTACAGACCGCCGTCATATAGCTGGAATATTGCTGAGTGCGGCATTAAACAACAAACAAACAAACAAACAAACAAAACATTATCATGTGTCATTTAAAAAAAAATCAAAGTTTATGACATATTTTCATGCACTAGTGTGACTCAAGAAACCATAGAGGATCAGAAACCTGACTGAACCACATCATGTACTTCATAGTGTCAAATGATTTAACGCCATTTTTGTTGTCGTAAGCACTCACAGACTGGTAAACTTCAATCTAAACTTATTGGGGTCATTATCCATTTACTGAGAGAGTAGGTATAACAAGGGTATTTTGGAGAAAGGCCTTAATATAAACTTAATAGGTTGTTTATGAAATACTACAAAGTTCTAGGTTAAAATATGAAATGGGGATAAGAAGGGTGACTGTAATGGTGTCGAGTAGAGGAATCCATTTTAAACTGCAGCATGGTATCTCAGTTGGCTAGCACTATAAAATTGGCATTAGTTTGGACTAGTAAATGCAGCCACAGACACACAGACACAGACAGACAGACAGACACACACACACACACACACACACACACGTGCATGCACGTCGCTATATAAGTGCAATAATCTTGGACGCGACGTTAAACCCAATTTCACCTCACCTCACCCATATGACTAGGGTAATATGTAGACACAGAGTTAGCTGAGTAATCAGTAGAAATGCAGGATTACTCATTAAGAGACCACATTATGCAGGATGTCAGAGAGATAAAGAGAGATGAAGGGCAAGGCCTGTTTCTAGGCAATTCAGCAATTTGTCGTTCGACCCTTGATGAAGTTAGAACATGGCATAGTTAATAATTCCATATAAGGAAGAGTTATGACGTGGAAAGAACAATGGTGCTTTTCTGATCGATCAGGTGCACGAAGACCCACTGGCGAATGGGTAGTTTGTCGAGCAAAACAGACTTTCTGTCAATACGAATCTTGAGTATAAAGGCAACCACAACTGACATGATCCATTTTGATAAAAACATAGGAGTTTGGAGTCTTTTAGTTACAAACAATAACATAAAATCAAGTACACCATTGAACGTACACATAATTAAGTAGATTTTCATTTTCTACAGAAATAGCTACACCGCATGCACATCGCTATTTAAGTGTAATAATCTTGAACGTAACGTTAAAACACCATTTCACCTCATCTCAACATTGCAGGACATGACAAAAATGATATTTTAATGAGTGGTGCAGGGACCAGTGAAAATGGAACTTCTGTAAGACAAGACAACTTCTGTAAGACAGATACATGGGGACAAGAGGCTGGGTGTTTGGTGGGGAGGTGGATGGGGTAGAAAATCTAATAATGACTTTACTGTGGCCTTAATGGTGCCACTATGAGCAGGTTGGGTACACCACTAAATATAGATGTTTTTCAAGAACGTCTACTAGACTTCATGCGGCTTAGCCGAGACCTGCGATGGGTTCCTACAGTCAGGACACACAGGCATAGCATCAACCTTTGTAAGAATTATGTTTTTATGAGTTTTGATTGTGACATTTTGCCCAAATCAGTTTGCTAATGCCATGATTACATCCTTCATTAAATAATGTTATTACATTGGGGTCAGTATACTGTGAGTGGGGGTATCCATTTTAAACTGCGGCATGGTATCTCAGTTGGCTAGCACTTATAGTCTGTCTTACAGACCCTGATACAAATATATATCAAATACAGCCCATGCAAGTCTATAATGTTTGGCAAGTCTAGATTACTGCAGTAAATGAAGAGAGTCTCTGGGCTCCCTTTTATTATATTTTTATTAAGATAATTGAACAACTGTTTTTTCTGTACGATATGTTCATTTCAGAGACTAGATGTAAGTCTAGCTAGCACTATAAAATCGGCATTAGTCTGGACTAGAACAAGAAGCCACAGACACACACAGACACGATGATGTAGGGTTGTGTCCTGACTGTAGGACCCCATCGCGGCTCTCGGCTACATATGTGGCTGTGCTTGGTTGTTCCTTTTCCCATTCTGCTCTTTGATACACACGAAGTGCGGGCGTTATTGCCATGTTAATGACACCCCTAAAGAAGGGCTGGGACGGGTAACTCGGGTACCCGGGTCCTACTCAGTACCCAGGACTACCTGGATCCGTGGTTAGTCACGTGATTATATTGTTTAATGGCAAAAAATATATGGTTACACTATAAGTGATAAATGTTCTTTGACTTTGCACACATTCCTTCTGACTTTATATGTTTGCATAATGATAAAACATCAGTCAACGTCAGTGTATGTATGACAAGATCGGATTATACCTGCATCTATATTTATTTTGACAGGAGTACCGTCAAACTTTCTCAATCGGACATGTTTTACCTATCACTTGAGACCTACAGTGGGTACCCGGGTAGGGTCGGGTAATAGGGGGGTGGGTACCCGGGTAGTAAATTTTAACTCGTCCCAGGCCTACCCTAAACTATACAGATAATGCCTCGGAAACTGGAAGGTTCTGAATATGTGCAGGAGGAACATCTCCGAAGAATAATCGTACTAGATCTTACCGTCAATCGCTTCTGTTGCAGATACAGGAAGTATATATTTGGTTTACATATTTATACAGAATATTTTGTGCCGACGAGTAATGTAGTGTATTAGACATGTCACTGAATCTTACCGTTTCCCACATATCCTGTGGACACACAGCTGAACGCAACTGCAGCCAGCACCACTAACAGATACTCCTCCATGTTGTATGTCTCTTCAACACTGAACTTGGTGGGACGTTCACATGAGATCACGTGCTGGACATGGGATTCCCCTCGTGACTTGCGTTTCTAAAAATAGCCTCTCACCCTGAACGCGCAGGCAATCACATGTCTTTGCTGGTACAATGTCATTAAAATCAGGTCTTAGTTATCGCTTGCGCTGAACAGGACCTCGGAACTCTCTAGTGATAGATTAATTTTGTTTTGCTTTGTTGGAGATTGATAATTTGTTAGAAAGATGGTATTGCCGTGTGGACTGTATCAATACAAATATGAAAAAAACCATGAATATATTTGTCGGATCGTACGTTTTTGGACACCATACGTTTTTGGACGAACATGTTTATCGCGATTAATCGCGCTATAACAAGAGGTGTGTCGCCACACAGACATTGTATTTGTAAATACTCAGATGATGGCCTGTTTTTAAGATAAAGTCGTCTTTTGTAAGTGAGTGAGATGTTTTACAGTTGTTCACGGATTAACGAGAACATTACGAATGTTCTTAGTATCCGAAAACCAATAGCACGGGGATATAATAGGGGTCATGAAAACTTCCTATTGATGACAATATTTGTCATATTTCATGACAATGTTGGTATCTCTAGGAGGATAATGAAGAGGAAAATGGATACATAGTTGAGAAAGTATAAAAAAATGTTAGTAAATCATTCATAGATGAAGAATCTCATTTATATCCCATGTCCTAAAAATAAGCAACGCGTATAAGAAGAAGGAATTAATATCACATGCTGTCCATGAATTCTTTCTCGACCTTCGTGTTTCTGTCCTAACATCTAAAATCTCTTATGAAAGATTCCATGACATCAAGATAAAACGGGTCAGGAAGTCAAAGTGTTGCTTCATAGATTTTAAACGAAATAATGTCTTTGGATATGCAACTGTTTGCTCAACAGGTAGACAAAAACTTTCAGTTTTGCAAGACTTTGTATGTGTGCACCACCTCACCCCTCTTTTGTCTCAAACAATGTCCGTGCCAGTCTGTGTGTTCGTTATGGTTCACTTCATGGCTGAGGGGGCGGTCGGGTAGCCGAGTGGTTAAAGCGATCGCTCGTCACGCCGAAGACCCGGGTTCGATTCCCGACATGGGTACAATGTGTGAAGCCCATTTCTGGTGTCCCCCGCCGTGATATTGCTGGAATAATGCAAAAAGCGGCGTAAAACAATACTCACTCACTCACTCACTCACTTCATGGCTGAGGGCGTGTGCTCCCCCTTGTTTCAAATTCTTGCATCCACTGATCCACACTATTGCTGAGTGCGGCGTAAAACAAAAAAACTAAACTGATCCACAACTGGTGACCGATTAACCACTCTGGTTAAACCCACAAGCACCGACTTTTGTAAGACCAAGAATCGTATTCAGGGCAAATCCATTGCTTTTATTGTCAGTATGAATACTTTTAAAAGAGTGAGTGAGTTGGGTTTAACGCTGCTTGTAACAGTATTCGAATTATATCACCGCGTGTCAGCTTGGTGTGGGAGAAGAGCCCGAAGTGATGCAGGTCTCAGACGTTTACCACTTTGGTGAAACCCACGAGCACGGGCATGGTGCTGACAAACATAGAAACATAATCGGGGCGAACCGGGATTTGAACCCACAATCATAGGTTTCTGGCGTGCCCAAGGGACGCAATTCTGCATAGCGAATTGCGGCGCCTTAGACGACTGGGGCACCCGTGCCCCCTACTTTTAAAAGAAGTTAAAGAATACCCGATTCATTCACATTAATACAGTTAGTATGTCATGGCATGACATGATAGATTAGCTATAGTAATATTAAAGTATCAGGTGTTCTTTAACTGGTTTGACAGATTAATTATAGCAATATGAAAGATTTGGGCACGCTTTAACATCTTTTTGAGTAGTATATTGTATGTGTCCAACTGTATACGTTCTGTCTTTTAGTCTTTCATGTTTGTTTAACGCCCGCATTCAACATCTTTATAATGACAAGCTGTAGATAAACGTGTCTCGCGCAGCTAACTAACAGGCTAGCTTCCTGGAGTCCGTATCCTAACTAACTGTACAGCTATGCACTGACCAACAGGCTAGCTTCCCTTGAGTCTGTATCCCAACTAACAGGCTAGCTTCCCATGAGTCTGTATCCTAACCAACAGGCCAGCTTCCAAAGAATCTGTATCCTAACCAACAGGCTAGCTTCCCTTGAGTCTGTATCCTAACCAACAGGCTAGCTTCCCTTGAGTCTGTATCCTTACAGGCTAGTTTCCCTTGAGTCTGTATCCTAACCAACAGGCTAGCTTCCCTTGAGTCTGTATCCTAACAAACAGGCTAGCTTCCCTTGAGTCTGTATCCTAACCAACAGGCTAGCTTCCCATGAGTCTGTATCCTAACCAACAGGCTAGCTTCCCTTGAGTCTGTATCCTTACAGGCTAGCTTCCCTTGAGTCTGTATCCTCACCAACAGGCTAGCTTCCCTTGAGTCTGTATCCTAACAAACAGGCTAGCTTCCCTTGAGTCTGTATCCTAACCAACAGGCTAGCTTCCCATGAGTCTGTATCCTAACAGGCTAGCTTCCCTTGAGTCTGTATCCTAACAGGCTAGCTTCCCATGAGTCTGTATCCTAACCAACAGGCTATCTTCCCATGAGTCTGTATCCTAACCAACCGGCTAGCTTCCCTTGAGTCTGTATCCTAACTAACAGGCTAGCTTCCCTTGAGTCTGTATCCTAACCAACAGGCTAGCTTCCCATGAGTCTGTATCCTAACTAACAGGCTAGCTTCCCTTGAGTCTGTATCCTAACCAACAGGCTAGCTTCCCATGAGTCTGTATCCTAACTAACAGGCTAGCTTCCCTTGAGTCTGTATCCTAACCAACAGGCTGGCTTCCCTTGAGTCTGTATCCTAACCAACAGGCTAGCTTCCTTTGAGTCTGTATCCTAACAGGCTAGCTTCCCTTGAGTCTGTATCCAAACTAACAGGCTAGCCTCTCTTGAGTCTGTATCCTAACCAACAGGCTAGCTTCCCATGAGTTTGTATCCAAACTAACAGGCTAGCCTCTCTTGAGTCTGTATCCTAACCAACAGGCTAGCTTCCCTTGAGTCTGTATCCTAACCAACAGGCTAGCTTCCCTTGAGTCTGTATCCTAACAAACAGGCTAGCTTCCCTTGAGTCTGTATCCTAACCAACAGGCCGGCTTCCCTTGAGTCTGTATCCTAACTAACAGGCTGGCTTCCCTTGAGTCTGTATCCAAACTAACAGGCTAGCTTCCCTTGAGTCTGTATCCTAACATGCTTTCTTCCCTTGAGTCCGTATCCTTACAGGCTAGCTTCCTTTGAGTCTGTATCCTAACCAACAGGCTAGCTTCCCTTGAGTCTGTATCCTAACCAACAGGCTAGCTTCCCTTGAGTCTGTATCCTAACATGCTTTCTTCCCTTGAGTCTGTATCCTTACAGGCTAGCTTCCTTTGAGTCTGTATCCTAACCAACAGGCTAGCTTCCCTTGAGTCTGTATCCTAACCAACAGGCTAGCTTCCCTTGAGTCTGTATCCTAACATGCTTTCTTCCCTTGAGTCTGTATCCTTACAGGCCAGCTTCCTTTGAGTCTGTATCCTAACCAACAGGCTAGCTTCTCTTGAGTCTGTATCCTAACCAACAGGCTAGCTTCCCATGAGTCTGTATCCTAACCAACAGGCTAGCTTCCCTTGAGTCTGTATCCTAACCAACAGGCTAGCTTCCCTTGAGTCTGTATCCTAACATGCTTTCTTCCCTTGAGTCTGTATCCTTACAGGCCAGCTTCCTTTGAGTCTGTATCCTAACCAACAGGCTAGCTTCCCTTGAGTCTGTATCCTAACAGGCTAGCTTCCCATGAGTCTGTATCCTAACCAACAGGATAGCTTCTCTTGAGTCTGTATCCTAACCAACAGGCTAGCTTCCCTTGAGTCTGTATCCTAACCAACAGGCTAGCTTCCCTTGAGTCTGTATCCTAACCAACAGGCTAGCTTCCCTGATGGGTAGTGCTTCCTCCTCGGGAGCTGGCATCAACAGTGAAAAAGAGAATGACAATTTCAAGGATCATATAAAATGTTTTTTTTATTTACTAAAAGTAAGACACCACAGCTGATACAAACTGTACAAACTTTTAATAAGAATAAATAACGACACATGGGAATTTGTCCCTTCTCAACTGTAACTACGGTATGCATACTGAAAACTGAAAACCATAATTTTCATCACTTGTATTATAAATGTTACAGTGTAAGTATTCGTGACATGTCTTTGTGAGCATGCCCTGCATTCTTCTGGCAAACGCTGATCAGACTTGGTAACCATGGTAACTTCACTGGCTGCCTCCTTACTGTCTACGTCACATGTCCAGCATCTGTGAATACAAAGATGCAGAACTCTTACAACTGAATCTTGCTTTGTAACAGTATAAAGGTGTTTAATTATGTACAAGGAAATAACTTCATCAATACAAATTACTGCACAACAATTACCATATTTTCTTGAGTATCGTGTGCACCCAAGTAGCTGAAATTAATTAAAACAATATTATAAGGAATTTTGAATAAACTTAATGAAATAAGTTACAAACATAAGACCAGATATACAATGAACACTTTTTATAACCAGACAGTGTAATTACAAAATTACATTGTGTACTCCAGTACGGATTTGTTGACATGGTATTTTTGGTGTTATGTGCTCACGGTAATGTCTTTGTGTTGAGGGAAAAAAATATAATCAAAACTCATTATGGCGTGTAGAATGTGCACCCCCTGCTACACAGCTGTGGGGGCGGTCGGGTAGCCTAGTGGTTAAAGTGTTCTCTTGTCACGCCGAAGACCCGGGTTCGAATCCCAACATGGGTACAATGTGTGAAACCCATTTCTGGTGTCCCCCGCCGTGATATTGCTGGAATATTGCTGGAATATTGCTGGAATATTGCAAAAAGCAATGTTAAACCATTCTCACTCACTTACTCACTCTACACAGCTGTGTCTTTTGGGGAAAAAGTGTGCACTACACTCAAGAAAATACGGTACAAAGGCAGTACACAATAGACTGGAAGTACAATATTCAATGGCTATATGTAATATGACGAGGATTAAGAAGCAGCTCTGAAACGTCATGACAAAGAATAAAAAGTGTCATGTAATCAAGTTGAAGCTGGAACCATGTTTTCATATTTTACCTGGAAATAGATGGATTAATTATATTACTTTTTAAGAATAACAATAAGTGCATTTATAATGCACCAGATTCCATTCACAAAGTGGATGCTCATAGCGCTACACTATTATTACCCCGGTCAATGGATCAGTGAGCACTTGATTTTCATTCTCATCTCCCTGGGGAGTATACAACCCATGCTGCCTGTGAGGCGCTAGACGGTTAACAGCCATATTTCCATCTCATCCTACCGGGTACCCACTCACTGCTGGGCACTTGCCTAAGGAGACACCAGTGTGGGGCAGGACCGAAGCCCTAGAAACTCTCAGGAGTCAAGCTGCTGAACGTGGTCACCCATCCAACTACTCTCTGAGACCAACGTTGCTTAACTTCACCTGATTTGTGACCTGTGCGCTGTGCACAGGACCACAGGTCCAGGTGCCACAATCATCGCCTCCCCTTTGAGGTTGGATGATGGAACTGTATCCCAGCCAGAGAGGAGATACAGTTCATGTCTCCTTGATGAATATGATGCTGTCTCACATTGTACCCATTTCAATACCCACAGGTTATTGTACATCTTAAGTCAGTACCAGCATTTATATACTTATATAGTTAGTAACGTCTTTAACAGTAGAAAAGCCATCATTTTAAGAAAGTTTAGTGTTCTCTGTTTAATTATTATGAAAACCAGTAAGTCCTCTGTTAAATACCGTATTTGACGTAAGAAGCGCCCAGGGCGCTCTCAAAATTGGAAATAGGGGACTCTTATTAGAATATTATTTGGGTGAAAAAAACAGAGTTGAAAGATAAATTTTGTGGTTTATGCTGACAGGCTGAAATGTTTATGGACGACAGATATATTTTTCCAGAATTTATTTGCCCATGATTAAGGGTGCATATAACACACGAGTGCGTTTTATATGCAAAAAGATAAGTCTTGTGTACATTGATCAATCGGAAGGGGTGCCAATTCAGATTGTTCACAAGTCAATATACATGTATTAGCAAACATCGCCGTGGGCGCTTATTACGTCGAATACGGTACTACCTACATACATGTATATGCATGTTGCGCCACGTTCAAGTAATCTATTCAGTCATGTACTTCCTACATGACCTGGAAATGCAATAAAGTTACGTTCTGCTCTCATATCTAACTAAAGCATACATCAGCATATCAATGACTTGAAGCCTGGCCAGAATATCTGATTTGGAAGAAGAACAGCTACACACATGACCTGACTTGTACATCAAGCTTACACAAGTCAGTATCACCTCGGCACACCTCAGCCTTGTGCATCCTTCCAGCTAGCCCACCACTCCCAAACACACCTGCTGTCGGCCCGAAGAGACGGAATACTGCCATGTCGGAGGAGAAGAAGCCTGTACGTGTCTATATGGACGGATGGTGAGATCATGCTTTTGACGTACCTCTTAATAAGTAAGTCATTGTGGGCAGGATAATTCTTAACAGAGTTAGTTAAGTATTAGAATTGTTTGCAAAATATACTCCACAAAAGTTGTAAACGTATTATGTATCTAACGAAACATACTGTCATAACCTTTTGTTATCCATATGAGACCGCCTCCATGGTCTAGTGGTAGAGCATCCGCCTGGAAAGCGGAAGGTCCGGGGTTCGATCCCCGGCCGCGTCATACCAAGATAGTACTTGTTGTTACCCTGTCTGGCAGTCGGCATTAAGGGGTTAAAGCAAGGACTGGTCGGCTCGGAGTCAGTATACTGTGTGTGAGTGGGGTATTCATGTTAAACTGCGGCATGGTATCTCAGTGTGCTAGCACTATAAATCGGACTAACACACACACACACACACACACACACGTCGCTATATAAGTGCAATAATCTTGGACGCGACGTTAAACCCAATTTCACCTCACCTGACCTTATCCATATGACTAGGGTAATATGTAGACACAGAGTTAGCTGAGTATTCAGTAGAAATGCAGGATTACTCATTAAGAGACCACATTATGCAGGACGTCAGAGAGATAAAGAGAGATGAAGGGCAAAGCCTGTTTCTAGGCAATTCGTCGTTCGACCCTTGATGAAGTAAGAACATGGCATAGTTAACAATTCCATATAAGGAAGAGTTATGACGTGGAAAGAACAATGGTGCTTTTCTGATCGATCAGGTGCACCAAGACCCACTGGCGAATGGGTAGTTTGTCGAGCAAAACAGACTTTCTGTCAATACGAATCTTGAGTATAAAGGCAACCACAACTGACATGATCCATTTTGATAAAAACATAGGAATTTGGAGTCTTTTAGTTACAAACAATAACATAAAATCAAGTACACCATTGAACGTACACATAATTAAGTAGATTTTCATTTTCTACGGAAATAGCTACACCGTTTTTTTGTGGTAACAAAAACTATGATTGAATGTGAAAAATGATAAAATGATAAAGCAAATATCGGACTGCATGCCGCTCAACGTGAAGTGCCAAAAATCTACAATGGCCGTTTCTGGTAGTTATGTGCCAGGAAATTTGGACGATACTTTCTTAACTTGTGATGTTTTCTTTTTGAGGTTTTAAATAAACTACTGAAAGTTTTGATATTTTGTAAGCTGAGTATTTATGCATTTCACACGTAACTTAAATGATACGAAAAGCCTACCAGTTAAACAGTTATTGTTTCATTTGTAGATGTCAAATGAGTACAACAGTAGCATTGAGAGCATTAAGAACCCAGCTACCTGATAGACCAATAGACGTCACATTATAACCCATACCTGTCAGCTGGCTAACCTCAGCAGATATTGTTTTATAGGACGAATGTTTTTCTGAATTAACTTACTGGTACTAGTTACTATTGAGACAATCTGATCTGCATATAGTATCAGCTACAAGTGAGACAATCTGATTTATCATCACTTACAAATGAGACAATCTGATTTATCATCACTTACTGGTGAGACAATCTGATTTATCATCACTTACAAGTGAGACAATCTGATTTATCATCACTTACAAGTGAGATAATCTGATTTATCATCATTGACTAGAGAGACAATTTGATTTATCATAAATTACCAGGAAAACAATCTGATTTATCATCACTTACTGGTGAGACAATCTGATTTATCATCACTTACAAGTGAGACAATCTGATTTATCATCACTTACAAGTGAGATAATCTGATTTATCATCATTGACTAGAGAGACAATTTGATTTATCATAAATTACCAGGAAAACAATCTGATTTATCATCACTTACTGGTGAGACAATCTGATTTACCATCGCTTACAAGTGAGACAATCTGATTTATCATCACTTACAAGTGAGACAATCTGATTTATCATCACTTACCAGCTGAGACAATTTGATTTATTATCACTTACAAGTGACAATCTGATTTATCATCACTGACTAGTGAGACAATTTCATTTATCATCACTAACTAGTGAAACAATCTGATTTATCATCACTTACTAGTGAGACAGTCTGATTTATCATCACTTATTAGGACCCGTGAAGATTCCGGGGTGGAATAGGTCTTCAGAAACCCATACTTGCCGTAAAAGGCGACTATGCTTGTCGTAAAAGGCGACTAAGGGGGTCGGGTGGTCAGGCTCGCTGACTTGGTTGATACATGTCATCGATCCCAATTGCGTGGATTGATGCTCATGATATCAATCACTGGATTGTCTGGTCCAGACTCGATTATTTACAGACTGTCGTCATATAGCTGGAATATTGCTGAGTGCGGCGTTAAACAACAAACCAACCAACCAACCATCACTTATTGGTGAGACAATCTGATTTATCATCACTTACTAGTGAGACAATCTAAATTTATCATCACTTATTAGTGAGACAATTTGATTTATCATCACTTACTAGTGAGACAGTCTGTTTTATCATCACTTACTAGTGACACAGTCTAATTTATCATCACTTACTAGTGACACAGTCTAATTTATCATCACTTACCAGCTGAGGCAGGATCTTCTCAAAGTAATCAATTGTCACTTCGTCTGAGGCATCTTTCTGAATAAAATGAAGGCTCATAAAGTTAAGTCATAATCATAAGTGAGAGAGTATGGTTTTATGCCGCTTTTAGCAATATTCCTGCAATATCACGGCGGGGAACACCAGAAATGGTCTTCACACATTGTACCCTTGTCGGGAATCGAACCCTGGTCTTCGGCGTGATGAGCGAATGCTTTAACCACTAGGCTACTCGACCGCCCCTCATAATCACATGTACTGTTTTGTACATGGAAATACTATGACAATGAATTTGCAAAATCCAAAATGGCATAATTTTATGAAGACATTTCAAACATATACACATGACTATGTATTCAACACATGATTATCCAACACATGATTATCCCCCAACTCAGTGTGTTTATCCAGTGACTGTTTCCATGGAACGGTGACCAGTATCGGACAATTATGTTTCTGAACCTTTCTTGTACCAAACTTTAAAACTTTAGAATGTAATAGAACAAATTGAATATTAAATACAGTAAACTACGTTTATAACGAACACGCTTATAACGAACTGGCGGATATAATGAACTGTTTTTTTGGCCCAAGCCATTTGCTGTATATATGGTGTATATGTGTTTATAACGAACCAGATGGAAAATATTGGACTGGATAGTGATCATTACTCTGTGATACGCAGTGGAAGTCTTAAAAATAACTCAACAAACTTAAAGTTAATGTCTGTTTAATAACTGAAATTCAAATTTACACCATATTTGAACTAACCCATGATTTCAGAAACAATTGCTAAAATCACTACTTACCACGATTTGTCTTTATTTGACAATGTTTTAGTCCTTATTTGACAATGTTTTAGTCCTTATTTGACTATGTTTTAGTCCTTATTTGACTATGTTTTAGTCCTTATTTGACTATGTTTTAGTCCTTATTTGACTATGAAAAACCCTTATTTGGTTTTATTAAAGTCCTTATTTGACTTTACAAATAATACAATTGTGACCTGATTTGACACTATCAGAGCAGAGACCATAAAATAGATTTAAATCTATTTTATGGTCTCTGGTCAGAGGCAGCCATCGGCAACGTGGCTGCTTTCTACCAAGCATGACTATAAAGTGACAAGGCCAGGGACAGAGTTCACCTCCCAACACATTTGTGCATGCCACCTGTGCACAACGTGCTGCTGTCCAGAACACCACACCTTAACAAGTGGTGCGTTCGCCAATGTTTTTCAATGATTTGTCATCCTTCTGTTCAGCCTGAGTATTTATTCTTCTGTATTCTACCATGAATTTGGAATTTACTCGATTCTGATTGGTCAATCAGAGGCTATTAAATCACAATAAACCCCCTCTGATTGAAACAGCTGGTTTGACGGCTGCATCACTGCGGAAGCTAATATTCACAGATTAGTACTATTTTCAGTCATTGTCGGTAGGCATATTTAAATAATTATATCTACAATTACAGGTTACGAAATGCACAGATGCGGTTACTACAATATTCAAAGGATGCGTGGCAATACATTTCGTGCAGAAAAACACGACAGAAATCAACAAAGGGAATGTATTTACGTTTTGGAGACAACAGAGCGCTTGGAATTTTGGCGCTTTTCTATATACGACTGTGACGTCATATTTTTTGCGTCACAATGAGCGATATGACGTCATAATGGTGACGCGCGATGTAGAGCGAAAGCCTTGCAAAGCTTGCTTTGTTTTCTTCAGGGATGCCCACCTCATGTTAGCTTACCAAGTTGCCGTGCTTATATGCTTTCAATGCCTGTCATATGTTCGAGTGAAGTATAACGGTGTAAACAAACTGCTTGAGTATATACAGCACCATATTTTGTTTGGTGATTCCGTAATTCAGATCGATAACCCACTCAAAACACTGAACTCAACCCATGCCGCTTCACTCAGTATATTTGCTAACACCAAAGAGTTCGCGTTTTATTTAGTCATGGTAGAATGGAGATAAACATACTGTGTTTTCAATGTAGAGCTAGGTTACCTGTAGATTTAACCGCGCTAAATATAACATTTGAAACCTCACGCTGCGTGTTTGGTTCCAAATTCAATTTAGCGGGGTTAAATCTACAGGTAACCTAGCTCTACATTAAAAACACAGTATGTTTATCTCCTAATTAAAGGGAGCCAGTGTTCAGAACTCATGCAGTCCTGGTGACCAAGAGACATTTATCAAGGGTCATTATATCTGAACTGTATTGCATGGCAATGACCCCATAACATAATATCTAACACTGGCTATCCACAGCTACAACTTTAAGAAATTGTTAAAACTTGAAAGGCTTTCTCTTATACATCGCTAGAACTACTACTATCGCAAGACCACAGAGGCAGTCTGCTTATTTTGTGAAGAAACGCTCCATTATTAGCAGCATCCCACTGACAGGGTACAAGGATGTCACAACCAACCAAGTCACCAAATCTGACCACTAATCCATTTAGTTGCCTCTCAAGGAAGCATAGATGGCAGTTAGAGATCTATTTTAACCTGGAACCCAAAAGGGTTGTATGATGTTTGATATCTGATAGGTTTCATCAAGAAATATTAAACTGGTTACTGCCTCAGAAATGAAAATATTTGAACATTTAAAAAAAACCAACCTCCTGGTTATTAAAGTCAGCTGTTCAGTACTTCACAGGTTTGGAATTTATGAAAAATGTTACTTGACCAAGGGTAAGTATGACCAACATTCTTACTTGCCCTATTTTAAAATGTACTTGCCCAAAATCAAGCTAAATTAAATTTAAATTCAGTAAAATGTTACAACTACAGAACTGGGAATCAGATACCCAAATGCCATACTTTCACTCATTAAAAGTCATATTTGTTGAAGTTTGACTTATGTGTCAACAAAGTTTTCCCAATTGAGAGCTTGGGAGCCTCGATGGTGACTGGTGTGTTCAAATAAAGTATTTCATCAAAGCTAGGACTAACGAAACTTCAAAAGTCGGCACGAGACCTATCTCATGTTACAAATTCCAAGAATAGTAGTCAACTGTCTGTCATTCCATTTCCAAAAAGCATGTGCCATATATGGAAGTGTTACTACGATTTATGAATGAAACAAGCCTGGTTATCGTTGTTGACCTGCCTGACAGCCAAGTGTATTAATCCCATTGGTTGACTTGTGTAACTGTATGCAAATAAGATCTCCAGTCTGGGACACTAGCAAAATATTAGCCAATGAAATATCGTAACATGATCACATGAAACTTGACCCAGTTCATTTTGTGTGCTCTACTTGTCCACTGGCATGCAAAAATACTACATTACTCGCCCGACGTCTTAACCTGACTTGGCATTGTCGTCAGGCTATGGTATTTTTGAACCCCTGCACTTGTTGGATGGTCATACAGTTTCACAAAGAAAAATTGTACACTAAAAGAATTACGCTTCAGAAAAGAACCCAACCTTCACTTAAACCTAAGTCCATCTTGTTTCCTTGAACATGCAAAAACAGTTAATAAAATCCTGAATAGCACAAAAGGCATCAGTTCAGAGCATGTCTGAAGTGTACGTAAAGTTTCATAAAGAAATATGGAACAATTTATGAGTTAGGTTCAAATGAGTGAGTGAGTTGGGTTTAACGCTGCTTTTAACATTATTCCAGTTATATCACGGCGTGTCAGCTTAATGTGGGAGGAAAGCCCGAAGTGATGCAAGGTCTCAGACATTTACTACTTTGGTGAAACCCATGAGCACGGGTATGGCGCTGACAAACCTAGAATTATAATCGGGGCGAACCAGCATTTGAACCCGCAATCATAGGTTTCTTGCGTGCCCAAGGGACGCAACTCTGCACAGCGAATCGCGGCACCTTAGACGATTGGGCCACCTGTGCCCCCTAGGTTCAAATGGGTGTAGGGTTCTTAATTAGGGTAGGTAATTCTACAGCTTCGTGAAAAGCAAAAGGATCCAGTTCAGTGCATGCCTGATGTGTATACATTTCTGGAAATGAAATGTGACGGATGGACAGAGCCTGTTTTTTTATTTCCCGCAAAACACTGTTTCAGCAGGGGATAATAAGCATGACAAGCCATGCTATTGATACTAATGACAAGCGATCAATTGTAAATAAAATTTATGCATCAACAAGAAAAAAAGAAAGATTGGCATGTTTGAATAACTAGCCACGATTATGATAGTAGTGATTGTGTATTCTCCGTGGCTCAAGTGTCCATGGGAAACCCCTACTGACCTTGGCCTGACTTGCCGCCCTTGAGGCTGCTTCTGAAGAGAGAGTGAGAGTGTAAACTATTATAAGGGTAATGCTGTTTTTCAGGGCATTATCATTTGCAGAAGCCTGAAGTCTTCCATTAACTGCCCGACGAAGGAGGGCAGTTGAAAAGACGGGGCGCTTCTGCAAATGATGATGCCCTGAAAAATAGCGTTACTGTTATTACAGCAAAAATGGATGGAATTTGTTATCAAATAAAAAGGAACAACAATATCGGTTTTGAAACATTTATTGCAATCAACACAAATGCCACTGACCCACTTTAACAAATAAGGAAACGGCATAGAACAAACCAGATGACGTCACTAAGGAATGTGACGTCACCTATCCCTATACTATGACGTCACCTAACAATGGGTGTGATAATGGCACGCTGTCAAGCAATATGAGGGCATTATCAAGTTACAGTGGCCCGCTCCTTTCTGATAACATGCGGGCGGTTTAATGATAATTCTATCTATTTTAGCTATAATGGTATTTTAGTAAACATAAGGTTTTTGTTTTGTTTGCAATATTCAAGCTATATGAAGGCAGTCCATAAATAAACGAGTCTGAACCAGACAAGCCAGTGATTGACATCATGAGCATTGATTCACACAATTGGGATACCATGACATGTATCAGGCAAGTCAGCGAGCCTAACTACCGATCCCGTTAGACGCCTCTTACGACAAGCATACTTGCCTTTTACAGCAAGCATGGGTTGCTGAAGACCTATTCACACCAGATCTTCACGGGTCTCACTTAGTATTGAGTTAATCTTATTTATCATCACTTACAAGTGAGATAATCTTATTTATCATCACTTACTAGTGAGACAATCTGATTTATCATCATTTCCGGCACTGATTGATAGGCTTTCGATATCTTAAAACTAAATGGTTAATGAATCAATAATATATTCAAACAAACAGATATAAATGTATGTTATTGAAGGACCATTTTTGCTGAAAAAATCATATTGTGGCTGGTACTGCCAGATTGATTTATCATAAAGCTAAAAAATGAAAAACTAGCCCTCAAATGTTAAAAGTTATTGAAGACTACCATCCCTGGATTTTTTTTATTGTCAACAAAACTTACTAGTCTCAGGCTATCTAACCTAGTATTACTGACCGACAGGATAAAGTCAGTCATTAAATTTAATATGATTTACCTGCCACAAAAACTCGCAGAACTTCCCCAACCAGCACAAGGGCATCCGAGTTCACTGAAGGAAAACAATTGGAACAAATTGACCGAGTATGTTGAGGAAGCGCGACAATAACTGTCCATATGAAAACTGATACATGGAGAAAGCAAGAGAAGAAAAAAACTTAGTGAATTCTCACTGCATTCCATTTCCTGAAACTAGTCGTACGAAATCATCTTTTTGCTACAAGTTTTTTATCTCCTGTATATCGTAGCACTAACTGAGACTGCTTTTTGCATGTCGGGCTGGAACTTGAATTATAATACCGTATTCGACGTGATAAGCGCCCAGGGCGCTCTCAAAATAAGAAATATGGGGCTCTTCTTAGAATATTATTTTGGTGAAAAACAACAGAGTTGAAAGATCGTAAATTTTGTGGTTTATGCTGACAGCCTGAAATGTTTATATGCGACAGATATAATTTTCCAGAATTTAACTTCCCATAATTAAGGATGCATCTAACACACGTATTATACAAGAATAAATACGTCTTGTGTACATTGATCAATCGGAAGGGGTGCTAATTGAGATTGTTCACTAGCCAATATATTAGCAAATATCGCTGTGGGTGCTTATCAGAGCGGGGCGCTTATTACGTCGAATACAGTATTAAATTTAATGCCCAGTCTTATTACTGTTCATGTAGTGCAGATATTGAAATGTGCCCATGTCATTCATGCTTTCTTAAATGCTTTCCTTCACAATCAACAATGGAGTACATATCTAAACCTACCTTTTGTCCTCTCATCTTTGAAATTCTTTTGGAGGATAGTCTGCACTGTTTTCTAAACATAAAATGATAATGTCAATATAAACATGACAACAGCAGGCCTGATATCTTGTGCAAATTTCCAGACTTGCTATGATAATGATGATGATAATAACAACAACAACAACAGAGACCATCGGTATATGGTCTCTGATAATAATAATAATAATAATAATAATAATAATAACAATAACAAAAAAACATTTGTTTGGCTACTCTTTTCTGAGGATCCTTAAGGTTAACTGCAATAGTAGTGGGTATTTGAATCAAAGGAGTCTCTGGAACACCAATAATCTTTAATTTTATTCTTAACATTATTGGAATGACAAGGCCACCGAGACGTATGGGAAAGACTTCCGCCCATTTCCCCCCCTTCAAAAGTTGCATGGGCGGATACAGAGAAGGGGGGGGGGCACCCACCCTTTTATTTCGAAAAAAAGCTTTATTTCTGTATAAATTACCACCAAAGACAATAAATAGATGTTAATTGTGCACCCCCTTTTCAAAAAAGCTACATCCGCCCATGAGTTGTATGTGTATGTATTGCCGCTGAATCCTTTTAGTTATATATGTCTTTGCGGGGGGATACAGGGGGAAGTCTTACCCAGATTTAGATCCCTCGATTCTATAGAAGAGTTTGAGGTAATCAGGGGCATGAAAAGAATGAAATGTAAAATTGGCTTCAATCACGGAACTATCACTAGCACAGTGATATATTGGGGTCTTATAAATAGGGTATAGCACACTGATGACTAGCTGTCTACTTAGCCCTGCGAGTAACAAGCTGGTAACATTGCCATTCATCATGTTCATCAAATATAGATCGAATTGTTGACGCGCACCTGCTTGAAAGCCGCGCCATTACCCGCCATTTTTCTGTAAACAGAAAATCAATGTAACAGTAAATCTTGAATTTTGTTTCGCATTCAAATATGCAACGCTCGCGTCAATATATAACTTTGATGGAACATATTTATTAAAGCCTAATAGACAGGAATGAATTTATTTCTGCAATAATACATATTTGTACGTGATTCGAAAGAGCCAGTCAAGATATGTTTCACACTCTGTAACAGCGCATGCTACATCTAACATTTCTTAAGTGGAACACTGTTGCTGTTTGGAGTTTATGATTTATGACAAACTCCATACAACGGGCGATGTCGTGCGAATAGCCGAACAGTGCCGTCAGGTGGCGCTCGTCCATCTCACCAAAGCACCGCCACCAGTACGGATTTACTCTCAATAACGATCATGTCTTCATGCGCCACAACCAATGTGGATGTGTGTTTAATATAGATACATTGATGTTATAGATAATTCATATATTACATACAATGTATTATGTTTATTTTCAGATCATTTATATGTTACATATAATGTATTATGTATGTTTTGTGTTTTTATACTAAATTATACATAATATATTGCGCGCAATGGGTTGTTTTCCGGTTGTGGTAAGGACCGCTTTACTAACAGATCCCACAAGATCCAGAGTTCACTTTTTGTAAAGAGAAAGTTGTGCGAGATTTTCTGAAACATCCCACCAGCTGAGAAATTGAGATGAAATGTAAAGTCAAAGAAAGTTGCATGTCCTCAACGACAAAGTTCAATCAAAGAAAGTAGCAACTCGCAACAAAAAGGGGCATAACTCCGCAAAACATATTTGTTCTACATTGTAACACTGATGCAGTGAGGGGCGGTCGGCTAGCCTAGTGGTTAAAGCGTTCGCGCGCCACGCCGAAGACCACAAGGCGATCACAACACAACATACTTTAAGTTAAGAAAATGCAAATAGATAGTCATTGAACATTTTTTAGTCATATATTTTATTCGTACTTGGTCAAATATGTTTCCTGTCTTGCACTTTATGCCAATTTTGTTCTTATTTTTGGTTTTATAGATACTTTAAAAGGAATACTCCCTCAGACACTCTTGTACAAAGAGCTCCTTCTCGTCAAACCTAGTGTAGTTGTTGTTGTTTCATTAGGTGTTTAAGAGGTCGCCTTCTGCCTAGGCAATTTCGGCTGACCTGTCCCTCTTTGTGACTCCTGTGTGTGAGAAGGGTTCACATATCTATTGTGACATAATTTCTGTTTTTGCATTGATATGATTTCTATTTTCTTATATTGATAGGATTTCATTTTTATCCTTGGCTGCTCTGTTCATATACGTTCGAGCAGCTGTCCATCTCTCAGAAATAGAGTTAGTTTGGCCTTCGCTATTGCATCTCTTGGCTTTAGGAGATCTATGACAGATAGCGGATCTAACTGCAATTCTTGTTTTAACCTAGCCCGGGCTGGGGCATGGTCTTGACATTCTAGTAACAGGTGGTCAATGGTTTCAGCCTGATTGCAAGATGAACAAACCTTGTCATAGTGCTTTTTGTGACCAAGTCTGAGGCGTGAGATAGCAGTTTCAATTTTCCTTTCATTTGAGTATGAGTTTGGCTTTTGCTGGACCTTGGGTTGAATTTTGTATAGCCATCTGCCGATCTTACTTGCGTCCCATTGGGTTTGCCATCTTTTTGCTATGGAGGCTTTGATTTTGCTTTTTTATCTCTAGTTTACTAAAGGGAATAGGCTGTATATCCGCTTTGTCTAGAGCTAGCTTCGCCAGTGAGTCTGCTTTTTCATTTCCATGAATATCTATGTGAGAGGGGATCCAACACAGCTCCACCTGTTGCCCTAACCTAGTGTAACACCAGGGAGTCTATATAAAGCCTTTGTAAAATCTCCCTGGTAATACCAATTACGTCATCACATCGCGGACTGTGTCTCTGAAAGTTTATTTTCCGGACCACGTGACGCCAATAAAACCAAGCACTGCATAAGATTTTGAAAGTAGTTCCTTGTGTTAGTGTTACGGTACGAGCGACACCTGGTGGCACTGTAGAGGAGCTTGTGCGAACCCGTCAGAAACGACTAAACCACTGAGCTTCATAGCAATGGCGTCCGAAGAAACATGTCAACAAAGTTTGGACTTGTCAAGTCCCAAAAAGAAGGCAAAACAGACGCATGTGTGGATGGACGGATGGTAACATGCACAACTGGAATTATATCATTAACATACCCGATTTTGTTCATTATCTAAAATATCGGTGACGGTTGTTAGGGTGGGCGTGTCGATAGTAGATGGCAGAATGTCACCACATCACGCCACTTTTATGCGCACAATGCATCACTGCTGTTAGGGTCTGTTTATTATTCTCCCAATGTGCGAGAATGGTTGCTTGAAAAACCGATTGCAACGTTGAGTTTTGTTGATGCACTGACTGAACGCCTTTTATCAGCTGATTATATCAGATCTACTACAGAATTTATGATTTTAAGATTTATCATAGCTTGGATAATTTAACTACTATGTAAGATCTTTCGAAGTTATGATACCTAAAAAAATATCCTAATTTTTTTTTTTCACTATAACATTACTGATTAATGCAAATTCGTTTTTTAAAATTGGATATATGTAAAAGATGTTACCATGTATAATCACTTAACACAGATACATTATTTTACCATGTAAATAATGTTATATTGACACCTTTGTCTTATACAAGAAGACAAATTTGAAAAAGACCAGGGTTGCAAAAGCTGATTGACCTAAATCTTGTTTGTTAGCCAACATGTCTTGATTTGTAACAGATTACTGACATGAGAACTAGGTGCTTGCAATGTGTCAGCTTGATGGTTGTGTCTCATCTTACAACGACATTGATCATTGCTTGAGCATTCAACCTCAGCTCTGCCTGGCACTGACTACAGGCTGCTGGGATATGGCATGGATATTGCTGACCTCTGCATAAAGTACAACTAGTGGAAGAATACCATCATGACATAATTCTGTTATGAAGAAATAGCTTTGTTTTGAGCCCAGAATCTTTTGTGATTGAAACAAGAATTACTATTTTCTCGAAAAACATGTCCAAAATCCAACTAGCTTTTCCTTAAGAACATGCTATGGAATATGGAATATTTATGGTCAAGAAGTTTCCACACGATTTGAAGTAACTATATATTTTATCGCAATGTATTGGATCGTTGCCTATGTATTGAGATACGTATCGTATCGTGACCTTGCTGTTTTGTTTCACCCCTATTGATAGCAGTGTTAAGTCCATCTTGTTCACTCTCTTCTAATAATAGATTTGATATTAGAATCTAGGATACTTTAGGCAACATTCACTCATCACAACAGAACTGGGAGATGTACCAGTCATTCAGATTTGATCCTCGTCAAATTTAATGTATCACTGTGACCTTGACACCACCATTGTCATCATCTTTGATATGAATTTACTGCTCCTGTAACTGTTGTGTGAGTGAGAGACACATTATTTGAATGCCAACAATCTAACTGGTACTTATTGTATTTCAGTTTTGATATGGTTCACTTCGGCCATGCCAATGCATTGAGACAGGTAAGTTGAACTTGCTGAGTTGACCCTACCTGTTATATTCTGGGAAGGGTGGGTGGGTGGAACTTTAGTTAGAAACAGGATCTGCATGGAGACATATTTTTATCTCTGAAAGGAAGTACTTTTAGCACAATGCATTTGTCAGGACATGCAGGAAATGAAACATACAATTTTTTTTCAGTAAAACTTGAAAAAATTACTATAAAATGACATCAGGATATTAAATGGCTGGTCCCAAATGCACATTTTGTAACATTGAGTGAGTGAGTATGGTTTTACACCGCTTTTAGCAATATTCCAGCAATATCACAGCGGGGGACACCAGAAATGGGCTTCACACATTGCACCCATGTGGGGAATCGAGCCCGGGTCTTCGATGCGACAAGCGAACGCTTTAACCACAAGGCTACTCCACTGCCCCACATTTTGTAACAGAAGGTCAAGATGTGAAATCAGGCTGACGTAGGGATCTACCTGGAAATACATTCCAAAACACTGATGGATGTGTTATGAACAGGACACCAGGTTTTGTCAGTTGAAGGATCTGTTGTCATGGTGATCATGAACAATATATAGGGGATATTTAGAGGTGGTTGTCAATAATCACTGAAATGTGGTTAGAGTTTGTATTTTGACTTATAAGCAATGTTTCACAAGTAAACATTCACCCTGTCATCAGAGGGGAAAGAACTAAACCGATCATTAAGTTGGCAGAATTTATCTGGGAACAAACAAACACATCAGGCAATTGTCGAATACCAAATGATAATGGGTATATCCACGTGTTGATCATCTGCGATCCTGATCTTATGCCATGACCACTGGCCTTGAACTTGACACCAGTAGCCATATGTGATATCACCATACTTGAGAGTGATGTTAGTCAGCTTTTTGTCCCTTGGCAGAGATAGAGCATTTATCTCAGTAATAGATTAGCCTATCTTACTGAGAAGAGAGAGAGAGAATATTGTTTATTAAAGTGTCACATGTTATATACACTTCGTAATACGATATATACAAAACAGTAAAATATAACATCCGGCCAAATATGACCTACGAGACACTATAAAACATATCAATCATAAAACTATTCAGTTGAAACAGAATAAAACATACATACCTCGTGATGCAGGCGCGGAGCACGGCCGTGGGCGGTTTCAGTGAAGAGCGCACCAGTATGCCAGGATACAGGGCAACTGACTTCGAAAGTCCTTAGTTAAACAGTGCGCTCCCCCTTAACTCCCCCCACAGCGTTGCGCCGCCCACACACCACGTCATACATACATACATACATACATACATACATACATACATACATACATACATACAAAGTCATACATACATACTTGGCTTAAAATGAAATTGCCTTCTTTTAACCATGTTGTAAATTGATTTGGCTAAAATACATTGGAGCGATTCTTCGTTCATAATAAAAATAAACTTTTCTAAACTACTCATATAATGAAATGTTTTATCTACAGAAGTTGCTTCTTTAGCTAAGTTGTATCTTAAATCATCATAAAATGGACATTCTATTAAAAAGTGACATTCATCTTCAACATAATTTACATGATCATTAGTAGGATTGGCGTGACAATATTTACAAGTCCTATCCAACAGTGGGGTAGGTGGCTTGGCTTCCCAGTTATATAATGACACAGATTTATCTAGACTTGCTCAGAGGTCAGTATTCAGCCCCAAGTCTGCAGTATATGTCACTAAACATTACCAACTTGAAATAATAGATTATCCAGTTCATGTTTTTACTGTTATAACTAATGTTATGGCTTAAGCAGATAATGATGAGGGGGAAGAGGATTAAATGCTGAAATACAGTGTTAAAATACCTCTGAATTTAAGAAAATAAGATTTGATAAAAATCCCAGTTCTAAACAAAATAATCATTTTTTCCCAATTTGCTGCATGGACTCAGTATATAATCCTAGATATCTTCCTGAATAGACAAGCTGTCCACAGTGTGCGACATGGAGAGCACTGATATTAAGCCAGGGTGTCAAAAGCTTTCTTCCTGGGCTGTGTTGGTGCATCACCTTTACAGGGTTAGAAATAAACACTAGCCCACTAACCTGGGGCTAGTACAAATTCCTGTGGGCTAGTACAGATTTCCCAATTCCCCCATTGTTTTGACATTCCAAGGGCATTTTATTTTTACCTGGGCTAGTAAAGCTTTTCAGTTCAGTTCTAACCTTGCTTTAAATATATTTCAAGGTTAGGTTAAGGTGACCAGGAGATATGCTGTACACCTGGCGTCATGTAAATGGTAATTGTATTTATACAAAATCTAATCAAACCAGTGGGACAACATGTTGCAGTTTCTGAATGAGCAAAATCTTGAAAATAAAATATTGATGATATATCAATTTTTATGTGAGCTAATAACGATAATGATAATGTATAAAACATTTATTGAACGTGGTTCAGGCTCAGTATTTTGTATCATGTCAAGGCCACACTCGAATACTGTTATATTGCAAACACATCAGCTTGGTTAGATTGGAATAGCGATACATTCATTTTGTTTTGTAAAATATTGTCTGTTGGACGGGGCAAAAATAGATGCTGTGATTTTGATTAATTTGGTATATGTGAAGTTAGTGCTAGTAGTGGGGTTCAACATATTCTTCCTTCGATATTATAACTAGGCATGTCAGGATTCACCGATTGTACCGATGCATCAGTAGATAATTCTCATGATATGATACGAGAGACATGTAAATTATATCGATATGAAATTTTATTGAAATCGGTATCCATTTTTTCGCGTATCGATTGATTTTTCTTTTCGAATCGAAATGTCATCATATTTTCTGAATTTGACACATACGAAAACTTGTTAGTTTCTGACACTTGTTTGAACAAACAGATTCAACTTTTTCTAAGTATTATTATTGTACAAAATAATCCATTGATAGTGGTTGGAACTCATAATTGTGAATGTGATATGTAATTAAAAAGTTTTCTTCTAAATTTACGCATAAAAGGTTGGTATTGCTGTATCGAGATACGTATCGTATCTTGACCTCAAAATCGAGATATGCATCGTATGGTGAGGTACCTGTATTGTGACACCCCTAATTATAACCTTTCAACCAGCCCTTAAATTCTCCCTCGCAATGCATATTTGGCTCTGAGGGAGCTAGACTTTGGCATGTAAGTTTCTCCTTATTATGCCATCATATTTTGTTCGTTGGTGGCCTAGTGGTCTAAGGTGCCTCAATTCGCCGTGCAGAGTTGTGTCCGTTGGGCATGCCAGAAACCTATGGTTGTGGGTTTGAATCCTGGTTTGTCCTGATTTTTTTTTTAGGTTTTATCAGCACCATACCCATGCTCGTGGGTTTTACCAAAGTGGTAAATGTTTGAGACCTGCATCAGTTTGGGTTTCCTCCTGCATCAAGCTGACATGCCGCGACATAACTGGAATACTGTTTAAAGCGGCATTAAACCCAACTCACTCACTCTCTACTGTACAACTTCTTTTTTGTGTTTTATTTTTTCCCACTGAGCTAATTAAACCATGCCAATATGAATTTGAGGTACACAAAGCAAATTGTTTTATTTTGACTGTCCAAGGCTAAATGGTTATTTGAAAGTGTGTATTAAATTAGATAAGTATGGCCCTTGGGAAGGCATTGTGTGGAAATAACTTTTCATCAATTAATATTAAGAATTTGTTTTTTGCATTTTTTGTAAATACATGTATGTATGTTTTTAGGTTTCTTGTCTATACAAATAGAGAGGACAGGCAAAAAACCCCTTATGTTTACTTTCCCACCTGCAATATTTTAAATTTTGACCTTGTTATGATATTTGTAGTTTGACTATGTTCTTAAATATTGGGCACTTAAAACATTAATATTTTATTTTTTTCAAATTAGTAAGATTTTTATGATATTTTTTTACACCTCAATATTAATGCACAAAATAATTGAACATCAATGCAGACAGCATCTTTTGTTAGGTAGCAATCTCTGTTGACATTAGACCCGTGAAGATTCCAGGGTAGAATAGGTCTTCAGCAACCCATCCTTGCCGTAAAAGGTGACTATGCTTGTCGTAAAAGGCAACTTACGGGATCGGGTGGTCAGACTTGCTGACTTGGTTGATGCATGTCATCGATCCCAATTGCGCGGATTGATGCTGATGATATCAATCACTGGATAGTCTGGTCCAGACTTCATTATTTACAGACCGCCGTCATATAGCTGGAATATTGCTGAGTGCGGCGTTAAACAACAAACCAACGAACCAACCAATCTGTTGACATTAAAACTAATGTCTCCATATCCAGGGGAGCCTCAATGCTGTGGCACTATTGGTTTTTATTTGATTGAAAACAAAGCTGTAGCTGTGTTCTTTAATGTTTATTACAATATTTACTCTTTAATCCCCAGGGCAAGCAGTTTGGAGATGTGTTAATGGTTGGCGTTCACTCTGATGGTATGTACCTAGTATATGTTCGATGTGTGGTGGGATGTTCTGATGGCCAAAACAAATGGTGAAACGAAATGGTACCTTGATACGTTCTTGAAGATTTCTTATCATATGGGTATTTGTTTCAGAGGAGATTGCCAAACACAAAGGTCCCCCTGTGTTTAATGAACAGGAAAGGTACAAGATTGTGCGGGGCATCAAGTGGGTGGATGAGGTAGGTGGATGAGTTTTTTTCCCCCTTATCACAACTAAGCATGTCAGCCATGTTTTGATCAACATGTCTTTGTGAAACTTGGACCAAGTGTTCCAGTCATACTTTTAGTTTTTAGTGTATTAATTTCATTTCTTTGTTTTGAAACGGAAACAAAACATCAGTTCCTAGTTGTTTGCAGAGTCCTAATGATCTTGACAGGATTAGACATTAACACAAGTCTGCCAATCGGCAAATGTGAAAACAATTTAGAATTACTGAACACTAGGCACTTGAATTTTCCCAAATAGTTCTGTGTCAGAAACCCTCTCACTGAGGTGATAGAATATTGAATTTAGCTTGTTGTGTCAACCTATGTGTGAGAATATGTTCATGAAACTTTGCAGACATCAATAAAAGCCTTCAATTAGTTATTTCTGGAGTTTTCAAGGAACCACAAATAAGCGTCACTTGCAGGGTCAGCTTCATTTCTAAGGGCCATTGTAAGAACCAACTATGTATTGTATGAATGTTGTGATGTTGAGGACTGTTTCAGGTTATTGAGAACGCCCCCTATGTGACCACGCTAGAGACACTGAGTGAATACGACTGTGACTTCTGTGTTCATGGAGGTGAGAGAAACTCAAATCCTCGGAGGATGTGAGACACCTGACACACCTACTTTCATTTTTCTGAATTATGACAACACATTCATGATATAGGCACACTTTGAATATCCAATACTCTTGCCCAAGCGATATCTATCTGAAAGTATGTTGGGTACACATATATGGTAAATTGAGTGCCTAACATTTCTTTGCAAATGATATACTGTAAATCTTGAAAATAACGCAAGTATGAATTAAATGCGAAAAATGTGAGTGGTCATTGTTCGCATCAATGAAACTTCGGATTTATATATCCAAAATGACTATCAACAGAAAGACTTTGGATAGTGCACACTTTGAATAGCGGAATATCAAGAGTTCTACCCACTCAGCAACCCATACTTGCCGTAAAAGGCGACTATGCTTGTCGTGAAAGGCGACTAACGGGATCGGGTGATCAGGCTCGCTGTCTTGGTTGATACATGTCATCGATCCCAACTGCATGGATCGATGCTCATGATGTCAATCACTGGATTGTCTGGTCCAGGCTCGATTATTTTACAGACCGCCGTCATATAGCTGGAATATTGCTGAGTGCGGCATTAAACAACAAACAAATAAACAATCGTGTCCAACTAGGCATCATTGACCACTGTTTGACTGGATTAGGGTCAGGATTCGTATCATTCCACTGGGGATGGGGTGGGGGGAGTCGCATTGATTTTGAGTCACATTTTTTGCTAGGGGTCAGCAGTCGTATTAATTAGGAGACAAATTAATTTCGAGATTTAACAAGTAATAAGTTTGTAGATGAGATATTCATGAGATATCACACATTATAAAAATAAGACCGCCCCCGTGGTCTAGCGGTAGAGCCTATGCCAGGTAAGCGGAAGGTCGGGGATTCGATCCCCGGCCTTGTCATACCAAAAGATGTTAAAACATGGTAATTGTGGTTACCCTGTCTGGCGCTCGGCATTAAGGGGCTAAAACATGGACTGGTGGTTCGGAGTCAGTATACTGTGTCTAAGTGGGGTATTCATGTTAAACTGCGGCATGGTATCTGAGTGGGCTAGCGCTGTATATCGGGATACACACACACACACACACACACACACACACTACCAGGTACCCATTCATTGATGGGTGAACAGAGGCATATTTTGTACAAAGTCAGTTGCCCTTAATAAACTCCCAGCGCCAAGCTTCCAAACACAGTCACCCACCCAACAACTCTGTGTGAACAATGTCACTCAAGTTGACCAGCTTTGTGACCTGTGTGCTGTACACAGGAACATGTGCCATCACGGATTAAGTCATCCCATGTGATGTATTTGCAGATGATATCACCACAACGGCTGATGGCGAGGACACATATCAACTCGTCAAGGATGCCAAGAAATACAAGTAAATCAAAATATCTACAATTATTACATTGCTCTATCAAAAGTAAATTTTGTACTGTTCCTATCTTACACTTTGCATTTCTTCCTTCTTCTTTTGTTCTAATGTGGACACATGCTTGAACAAAGTTTCCAGCTTCTAGAAATAAATCACCCGAACACATCGCTGCGTCATTATGGTCACCACCCAAATACATGGGTTACTCACTGTAACCCTGTGCATAGCGACTTGATGCATATCATTGTATCTCAATTGCGTGGATCGATGCTCATGGTATCAATGTCTGGATTGTCTGTACAGACAGCCTTCATGCAGCTGGAATATTGCTGAGTGTGGCGTTAAACAACTAACAAACAAACAAAACAAACATAGGATCGAAAGAAGAAGAAAGAAATGCATAGTGTGAGATAGGATAATTATATGAATATACAATTTAATGTAAAATTTCCAATTTTGAATAATTTTTATTGATTACAAACTAGAAACCTAAGCAAAATGGTAATATTCAGCTGCAGGTTATCGCAATAAAATCATGCATTGTCACATTGCAGAGAGTGCAAGCGAACAGAAGGAGTTTCAACCACAGACCTGGTTGGAAGGTAGGGATGTTTTGTCATAAATTATGGATTTTGTCATAGAGTAATTTACAATCATGAGAACCACGGGATTGGATCCAGGGGTTACTATAGGTTTATCAAAATGCAAGGAGAGGTAGAGGGTGGCAGCCACAGTGTCCATTCAAAACCTATTCCTGAATCTTTCGTGATGATGATGTTGAGATTTTACGAGTGCTTCCGGTGAATCCAATTTCACACTCAAATCTGAGGTGTCTGTCTTCAGTTGTTTCCCTTAGCTGCAGGGATCAGAGTGGTCAGTAGTTCAAAACCCAGATTGGTCCCAGTTATGATCCTTTGGGAGTAGCACCATGCTAACTCACCTGAGTTGTAAGTATCCTGAGATAGAACATGACCTGAATTGTTTGATAGGCATTACTTAGAAATTGACGGATGACCAAGTTCATGCAATTTATGGATGACAACTTCTTTAATTACTGTAAAGGTGACGTTTCAGTAAAGATCGATCTACTGTAGTCAAGCAGGTCTGAATGATGAACATGGTACAGAATATATATAGTTGGTTGAGGATTAACAGTAACAATTGCATACATGAGGGGGATTACCATAATGACAACATAAAGATTATACTGTAACAACATGATAGACAGAGATGGAAGCAAACAAACAGGAAGCCAGTTAAACAGGATAAGTATACATAGGTGTGGAGATTATTGCTTTATGAGTTCCGATTGGGCGGGGGGCGGTGGGGTAGCCTAATAGTTAAAGCGTTCGCTCGTCACGCCGAAGAACCAGGTTCGATTCCCGACACTGGTACAATGTGTGAAGCCCATTTCTGGTGTCACCCGCCGTGATATTGCTGGAATATTGCTAAAAGCAGCGTAAAACCATATTCACTCACTGTAGTAGGCGGATGGGATGAAATAGCCTTGATCTCTGTTGATTGATGGCTTGTGGCAGCGAATGTGGACTGCTTCTGTTAGTTTTCTTTTAGTGAAGTCATGGAGGTTGTTAGAGAGGATTTAGACGTTTTCCCAGTTGATGTTTTGATTGGGGCAGTTGCTGATATGGTCCAAGATAGCTGATTTTCTGTCTGATTTAATGTTGAAGTTTTGTGCTCCAAGCAGTGTTAAACCAAACTCACTCACTCACCCATCAGTCTTGCTAATGTTGTTTGAAGCTAGTTGTTGATGCAGTGTGAACAGTATTTGACCCGGCTATGTTTGTGTTACAGGATGTTGTTGGTAACAAAGACCCACCATCAGCCAGACGAGGGAGAGGCCGTGGCATCCTCCCATGTCGGGACAATCAGCTCTGTGAGTAGCACGACTCTGTGAACTGTTGGGGAGGGGATCCTGCAGTTTGCTCTGGATGTGTCATGTGTGCTTTGCAGGTGCTATCTTCCCGAGGCAAGCGAGTTAACTGACTATAGATGTCCAGTTTCCATCCTTACCAAACTAGGCTGGTATTATGGAGTTACATTTTGGCTGGACTAACGAGTCTATGCATAGTCCAATCAAAATCATGCTCCGAAATCGAAATACGGTTTGTAAATTGTCAAGCAGATTTCGGTCGATTGCAGGGTTTGCAAAGCATGTGCACCGCTAACTCATTGTCAACAGATATTTTCTAAATGTTTTCATGTTAGATAATCAAGGTGCTCACATGATTTGATGCAATTCGCGATGTAAGACTCGTTGTATCACAATATATAGATCTTGATTATCAATCAGATTGTCTTGACTGGGCACCGCCGTTTTGTTTGAAGCCAATGCAAGTGATACGTGAGGTGGAATCTGATTGGTCCATAGGAGAGGCATAGAAGGGACATAACTCGTAACAGCCACTGGTGGCGCTACAATTGAGCCCAGGAATTCCAGCCTAGTCCAGCAAGAGTGGAAACTGGACTTTTAAAAGTCAGTTAACTCTCTTGCCTCGGGAAGATGGACATGTGCTTGACATGTGCTTGACATGTGTCTCATGATGATCATATGTTAAGTCTTATCAAGGTTTGTTCCTGAATACTCAGGCGTCGTTGAGTTGTGGGCAGACCAGTCATTATGTAATCCTTGCTCGTCATGACAAAGGCCTGGGTTTGATTCCACAAATTGGTACAATGTGTTAAGTTACTGTGATGTACTGATGTAAGTGCCCAAGAACGCTTAGAAAATTGGTAAATTGGTGGTGGTGAATGGGTGGGGTGCAATCTCATTAAAATAAGATCTTAGTTCTCACTACCGCTAAACAAAGGTCACGTCAGGACGACCTTTTGTAACTTTGACCGACCAATGAAATGACTAACAAGAAGTCGACATTAGCCTATCAGAAAGCAGGTTCCTAGAGCTTTACTGCACTTCTTTCAAACTGGCGACTTTTATTTCAGACTATGCTTGAAAAATATGTAGACAAAGTTCTTGATTTAACACATGTTAACTGAACAATTTTGGAATGTCTTATATATGGTTGAGATTGTATGGCAGCACTTGTCACCAGCTATGCAACATACGTCTTTTCCATTCAAATGTTTATCGCTTTGAGGCAAGAGATAGATGATGCTTTTGAACTGTGTTTGGAATGCCCAATGTTAACCTTTGCAAGGCAGCATGATTAGAAAACACATTCCTACTATCACTTTCCTGATCTGGTAAGCGACGCTCTGATTGGTCAGATGAAAGGTTGACCGGACATGACCTATAATTGGATGTCCTCAGATTTTTGTTTAGCGGTAGTTATAACTAAGATCTGATTTTAATGACATTGGTGGGGGTGGTGGTGGAGGGGGCTTATTAAAACGATACACAATAAGTTAAGTTTGTTTTCAGAGAACAAGCGGCAGTGAACACAAAGATCATATGTTGATGACTCTAAAATGTTTCGATAATACCGTATTCGACGTAATAAGCACCCCGCTCTAATAAGCACCCACGGCGATATTTGCTAATATATTGGTTTGTGAACAATCCCAATTAGCACCCCTTCCGATTGATCAATGTACACAAGACTTATTTATTCGCGTATAATACACACTCGTGTGTTATATGCACCCTTAATTATGGGCAATAAAATTCTTGAAAAATATATCTGTCGTACATAAACATTTCAGGCTGTCAGCATAAACCACGAAATTAACTTTCAACTATGTTTTTTCACCAAAAGAATATTCTAATAAGAGCCCCCTATTTCTATTTTTGAGAGCGCCATGGGCACTTATTTCGTCGAATATGGTAGTTCCAATGAATGCTATTATATTCCCTTTCCGTGATACTGTTTTCTTTGATAAACACAAGAAAATTCTACTGCAAAAGGTTGCTCCCTGAGGTTTCCGGGCTGCTTTTTGCCTCTCCAGGTGACGAAGGGCAAGAAGTTGCCCTGAAATGTTGTGTATGTATAATAAAGAAGTCATTATCATACTCCTTGTCATGATTGAAGTCAGGTAAAAAACCATGCAGCTTCAGTTGTTTCCTCGTGAGTGACGACAGGAGTCATGTGACTTGTCCTGTGATTGCCTCAACACAATGAACAGAAACCCAGAACTGTATACAATGTTCTTGCTCACAACACCATACCTTGACTTACTGTACTGGTCATAGGACGTAGTACGGTTCTGTATTTTACCTGTAGTTTTGCAGTGTTATGAAATAATTGTTTCATTGTTTTTATGTATGTATTGCTAGGATATTGCCAGTGTAAGTATTATGATATACTGGCGTCTGCTGCACGGCTAGTTGAGGGGGTTTGCAGGGTCATATTGTATATCTATTAAGTATTTCAAAAAGGAGAAACAAAATTTTAGCTACCACTTGAACTGGTGGGTCACATAAGGGTATATAAAAGCTTCTCTTCTGTTGTTAAATTCCCAACATCCCTGAGGCTGACACTTTGTACCAACAATCTGCCAACACCGGTATCATTTTCCCCAATTAAGGCATATTATTTTTTTAAGTTGGTTTATGTTACCGACCTACAAAAAACACTGAAATTACTGACGAGAGAAAGATTTTTGACAATGTTTTTGGGTTCTACTCTGTTTACTCTGTGAAATAGACAACAAAACAAGATTTTATCTCTGCCGTTAGTAAGAAATGGTGAACAATATGTATAAAAATCTTTATTCGAACAAAAAACGCGATAAGTTTTTTTTCGGTATTGTTTTGCAATCATACTTCCATGATGATGTGGCCTATCAGATTGTTTTATATTCATTAGGCGCAGTACTAAGCTGGAAGTTGAAAATTGTTTCAATTTTCTTTCTTTGAAATGTAAACCAACTATATAAAAGGTCTTTATAGTAACTTTGAATGTATGGAGTAATCTGTGATATTGTATAAACTAGGGTTCTTTCTGAATTGTGATCTTGCCCCTGGTGAAAGCTTTGAACTGTCTGTACCCTCTTGCATCGAGTAATACCAAGTTTTCCTCATTTTGAACTGGAACATTTGAAGGTCTACCAAATTGAAACGATGGATGATTAAAAGATGCCTCAGTCTCATTTTGCGACTGCTATTTGTTTTGGGCGCACCCTGCACACCCTCATTGCTTTCAGTACTTTTGAACTCTGCTCAGGCACAACAACATCATGTACCCTCACTATACTGACATGAGATTTATATATTCAATCCTTTGCTGTGTCTCATATATATCTTTATGTTAATCCTAGGGCTGGCTATCGATTCAGATCATAGAGATTGATAATCGTTAACTAAATATCGATCAATTATCGATAAATACTGGTATCGGAGAAGTATCTTTGAGCAAGCACGCAAAAATAATTCCTAAAGTAATCAACATATTTCACTCCACTGGTGAGTGGTGGCACGTTTATTCAGGGATTACTTGGTGGACATTTGAGATATAACTTTCCATCTTCAGCAATTAACATTATTGACAATAACAAATCTGTTTTGGTAAATCTAAAATTTATTTCTTCACAATAGTTTAAGTAAGGTATTATCGATGACACAATGATCATATCGATAATCGTTAATATTTTTTCCCATCGATGATAATTCTGATTATCAATCTTTTTTGCCAGCCTTAGTTACTCCTGTAGTCAAGTGTGTCTTTCAGAAACTAAACTGCCCTCATTGTTATCACGTCATGACAACAACCTTCACTGCGGAGTCAGGACTCATCTCCGATTCATCAATCTGTCAGAATCATTCAGCATTTTGTTTTTTGTTCCTTGTTTACAAACAAGGTTTATATTCCTGGAAGCCCAATCTTGAACTTGATCGAACAAATTTCAAATTCATCTGGTGAATAGACATAAACTATTTTCACAATTCACTAAACAGGAAAAGACATGTATCTAAAAAACAAACCTTCTCTGAATGTATGTGTGAGCATGTTTTGGGTATGGTGAAAGATTCTTGTAATGTCTGTGTTCACACTGGTGGCAGTGAGGCTACCATTAGGGAGTCAATGGTGTCTCATGCTGGATGGCACTTGGGTGATCGCTGTGGGAAGGGAAATAACTCATGACTTTTCAGGAAAAGATAACTCCAAGGAGTAATCGGTACATTTTTTCATGTTTGATATTTTATCCTTCCCTACATGTAACAACCATTTAATGCACAACTGGTAAACAGATAATATGTAATGAACTTAAACTAAATTAATGTTTTAGCAAGGGAGTTTACTGACTGTAAAAGTCCAGTTTCCACCCTTGCTGAAACTAGACTGGAACAGTGGAGTTATGTTTTTGCTGGACTAACGAAATCAAAATTGCATAACGAAATCGACATCTGGTTTGTAAACTGCTCTGCAGATTTCGCTTGTTTGCAGGATTTGCAAAGCATGTGTACCACCAACTCAGTGTCAACAGATATTTTCAAATCTTTTCATGTTTTTGATCAAAGTGCTCACCTGATTTGATGCACTTTGTAAAGTAAAACCTGTTTTATTTCAATATAGATTTTGATTATCGATCAGATTGTCTTGACTGAGCGCCACCATTTTGTTTGAACAAATGCAACTGATATGAGCGGTGGAATCTGATTGGTCAATAGGAGGGACATAGAAGGGACATAACTCACACAATAGTCACTGGTGGTGCTATGCTTCGGCAAGAGTGGAAACAGGACTTTCACAGTCAGAAAACTCCCTTGCCTCGGAAAGATGTAATTAGTGCCACAAACAAGATGCTGAGACGAGTAGTGTAGTGGATATAGTGTTATTACCTACACTTGCCCTGAGATTGATTCTCGCTTTGGGTTCAGTTTGGGAAGTCCATCCTAGGTGTCCCCATAGTCTGTCTTACAGTCTCTGAACCATATCAATTTCCCTTCCGCCCAGCACTAACTGTTATGGTATAGACTTAATGAAGTAAGTCTAGAATTTCAACAACTTCTCCCATCTCATTGGGGCGCCTTTTCATTTTAAATGTTGTTGCTTGTTTATATCAGAGTAGTATATTTTCAGAGACTAAGCATTAGACTAGGGTCCCCGCTGCAACACTCATTCACTCGTTCATAATCATCATTAATGTTTCTGAAAGTTATAAGAATTTGTACATATTTTTGACAATCGATTGTAGCTTCTATTTAAATTATGATTCTCACAAAGAATATTCATTTTATATCAAATAAACAGATTGTCTTTCTTTCAAATCATTTGCTTTTCAAGCCATCCAAATCTTGAAATATTACTTTTCAGACTCATCTTATAAATGTTAACAAGATTAATTATGGTACATTTTAACCCACATGTTTCAGAAATCATTTAACAAAATCGTAATCATCAGTATTGTAATACGTTCACTTATAGATATCATCCCTCTTTTAAATCATCCTGACTATGTCCTTATATTACCTCGTAGATTCAGCTTGAACCTAAAGCCTCCCCTTTAACCAATGAGCTTCTTTTTTTGGGGAAAAAATCCTTTTAATATTTTTAGTGAAGTAATCAACAGGCGTATTCGGTTGCTTGAATTAAACTGCACAATTTTATACAATCTTAACGCTGCATATTTCCCTGGTTACAAAAACAGCAAACATAGTGAAACTGTTTAATCCATCAACAGTGAAGTGTATATTCAAAAGAAAGTGAATAATAATATCAATGCTCCTGATATTAACTGTAACAAGTAACAGAAACTATCTGCACACAGTACCAGTAATCCTGATATATACTGTAAGATGTGAACAGAACCTTTTCGTGCTTATTATTGATTAAATGAAGACCATGTTTAACATACATAAAAACTGATAAGTAAATGTGTCATTTTTACAATCAGAATTATTCATCATTTCACCAGATTGCGCAGTTTTCAAACAAATTTCAAACAAATTTCCAATGCATTCTGGGTGCTTGTATTATGATGGTGTATTTTCCTCCCTCCCAGGATTCCTCATCTCACAGTCCATGGACCGGAGTGTCCCAGTTCCTCCCCACCTCCAGGAAGATCATTCAGTTCGCTGGGGGCAAGGAACCGGCCCCTGGGGATAAGATTGTCTATGTAGCTGGAGCCTATGATCTCTTCCGTATCCTGTGTCGAGTTGACAGAGTTAATGTTTACTGCTGCAGGTGTTGGTGGCCTGTAAATAAATAAGTCTGGACCAGACAATCCAGTGATTGATATTGTGAACAACGATCCACGCCGTCGGGGGAACAAAGACATGATATCAACCAAGTCACAGAGCATGAACAATCGATCCATTTGGTCGTCTCTCAAAAAACACATTGTGCCCGAAAATCTTGAAGAAAGTAATTATGCTTCAGAATGTAAAAGAATTTGTCTGCCACTAGGCGACTATACTTTTCGTAAGAGGCGACAAACCGGATTGGGTAGCCAGGCTCTGTGACTTGGTTGATGCAGATCATCGTATCCCAATAACGTGGATCGATGCTCATGATGTCAATCACTGGATTATCTGGCCCAGGCTCGATTATTTACAGACCACTGTTATATAGCTGGAATATTGCCGAGTGTGGCGATAAACAACAAACAAACAAACAAACACAGTGGGTACATGAAACAACCTGCATCACTTCACATTCCAGGCTGGAATGAATATGAATATAGTCGTGATCCATTCATATAATTTTCACTTCTGTTTTGCCTTTCATGCCCAGTGAAATTGGTTTCGTAGGCTACTTGAGATGGATTATTATCTGGCGTTGATGTTTTATATTTATCATAAGATTGAGACTTTAGATCAAGTTGGGCTCTATACCTTTGAAATGAGGCCTTTGCATGTCACTGAAAATTTGGATACCACGAACAAGATTACAATGGAATTTGGACTCTACCACAGACAAAATATATTCATCCATAACATACATTACATTTTATTGAAAAGTCATTGTTTTGTGGTAAGAGAGAAAGAGGGTAAGTTATTATGATATGTTCAATGACAATATGAGCCATAGTTGTTTTTGTCCTTGACGACCTTGAAGATGTCGGCCATCTTGATTTCCTAGAGAAAGCTGCTGCAGAAGGCAACTTCGTGATTGTGGGACTCCACACAGACCCTGTGAGTGTAATGCTTCAAAATGAACACAGCTGTATGCATTGACAGCTCCAGGTGAAGTAGGTGACTGTGGAGCAATACAAGACACAAACGTTCTTCATTTGAGAAAACATCCTACTGATTATGATGCAATTTCAACTATTTTAATCAACATATTTCCATGAATGTTTGATTCAAGATGTGTTTATTGAAACTTTGCTGGAACTATTTTTAATTCTTTAATAGTGATGTGTATATTCAAAAGAACATGGATATAACACCAGTGCTCCTGATATTACTATAAGTTGTTAGAGAATATATCTGCAGACAGTACCAACAATCCTGATATTTATTGTAAGATGTGACAGAGCCTTATCATCCTTATTATTGATTTAATGAAGACCATGTTTAACATACATAAAACATGTCATTTGTAAATCATAACTATACATCATTTAGCCAAATTGTGTCAGTTTTCAAACAGAAATTTCCAATGCATTATGGGTGTTTTATGATGATGATGTATTTTAATTCACATATCTCTGCGAGTGTTTGATTGAAGTGTGTTGCAATGTTGCAGATAGTGAACAGATACAAGGGTTCCAACTACCCGATAATGAACCTACATGAGAGGACACTCAGTGTCCTGGCCTGCAAGGTGAGGCACTCTACCAGCAGAATAGAATAGGTCTTCAGCAACCTTTTGCTCGCAGTAAGAGGTGACTATGCTTGTCGTAAGAGATGACTAATGGGATTATGTGGTCAGGCTCGTTGACTTGGTTGATGCATGTCATTGTATCCTAATTGCGTAGATTAATGCTCATGATGTCAAATACTGGATTGTCTGGTCCAGACTTGATTGTTTTCAGACCGCTGTCATATAGATGGAATATTGATGAGTGCGGTGTAAAACAACACCCAAATGATGTTTCAGTATGTGTTGGAAGTTGTGATTGGGGCACCTACACTGTCACTGACATATGATCGGTGCATGTTTCAGTATGTGTTGGAAGTTGTGATTGGGGCACGTACACTGTCACTTACATATGATTGGTGCATGTTTCAGTATGTGTTGGAAGTTGTGATTGGGGCACCTACACTGTCACTGACATATGATTGGTGCATGATTCAGTATGTGTTGGAAGTTGTGATTGGGGCACCTACACTGTCACTTACATATGATTGGTGCATGTTTCAGTATGTGTTGGAAGTTGTGATTGGGGCACCTACACTGTCACTTACATATGATTGGTGCATGTTTCAGTATGTGTTGGAAGTTGTGATTGGGGCACGTACACTGTCACTTACATATGATTGGTGCATGTTTCAGTATGTGTTGGAAGTTGTGATTGGGGCACCTACACTGTCACTGACATATGATTGGTGCATGATTCAGTATGTGTTGGAAGTTGTGATTGGGGCACCTACACTGTCACTGACATATGATTGGTGCATGATTCAGTATGTGTTGGAAGTTGTGATTGGGGCACCTACACTGTCACTTACATATGATTGGTGCATGTTTCAGTATGTGTTGGAAGTTGTGATTGGGGCACCTACACTGTCACTGACATATGATTGGTGCATGTTTCAGTATGTGTTGGAAGTTGTGATTGGGGCACCTACACTGTCACTTACATATGATTGGTGCATGTTTCAGTATGTGTTGGAAGTTGTGATTGGGGCACCTACACTGTCACTTACATATGATTGGTGCATGTTTCAGTATGTGTTGGAAGTTGTGATTAGGGCACGTACACTGTCACTTACATATGATTTGTGCATGTTTCAGTACGTGTTGGAAGTTGTGATTGGGGCACCTACACTGTCACTTACATATGATTGGTGCATGTTTCAGTATGTGTTGGAAGTTGTGATTGGGGCACGTACACTGTCACTGACATATGATTGGTGCATGTTTCAGTACGTGTCGGAGGTTGTGATAGGAGCACCCTATGCAGTCACCAAGGATCTCATGAATCACTTCAAGGTAAGTTCTGTCAACATTATCATCTTGAAGTTTTGATAGTCTCCAGGCAACCTGTAGCCCCAACTGCATCAGTACCACACTGTGCGGAGCTGCACCCTTTAGTTGCTGGGATCTGCTGTTTGTGGGTTCAAATCCCAGATTTGCCCAACTAAAGATTCTAGGTGTCTCAGCACCATTTACGAAGCACCATGTGAGGTGAGGTGAAATAGGGTTTAACATTGCGTCCAATTTTTTTGCACGTACATAGTGACATGCATGGACAAGTCTAGCTGCACTAGAACAATCCAGAAGATTCTAGATTACTCTTGACCACCAAGAATCTCAGGGCTCCATATAAAAGCTGTATCGGTGTATGTACGGATGGAAATATGCACCTGGGATGATTTAGAAAACATATCAGATACGCATCACAGCATATATGAACGGTCTAAGATTCTTTTGTGGACGTAGTTCTACAGATAATATTTTGATTTCAAGCAGCATCTTAATTGAAAACTTTGATCGCGTTACATTGGACTTCCCCTTTTTATTTTTACTGTGTGGGAAATTTTTGTTGCTAGGGAAACAGCATTCTGCAGTGAATCCCCTCTGCAAAATCTTATTGGTAAAGAATCGTCACCTGTATTTGAACATGGTGACCCAGAAATCAATCACAAGTTTTTTTCCGAAACAAGACTTTGTGACTCCTGAACAACCAAGTGATCAAATTGCGGCACAAATATTAAATGAACCACTTACCAGTGTCACTCGTTTCTCATGTCGTAGTCACACAGGTGGTTCTACACTTCAAAGTATGACGTGATATGACCCTAGGGCACATACGATTTTTATGAACCCCGATATGTTTGCCCTCGTAGGTAATAATTAATTGTATGTTATATATTATAACTATTTGCTGCCTGTGTGACCAAGTTTTGCCTTGATTCCAGGTGGACATGGTGTGCCACGGTATGACGCCAATCATGCCAGACATCGATGGATCTGATCCCTTTGCAGTAAGTGATATTTCCTTCTGACTTGGGGACATGGGTGGCCCAGTCGTCTGAGGCGCCGCGATTCACTGTGCAGAGTTGCGTCCCTTCGGCACGCCAGAAACCTATGATTGTGGGTTCGAATCCCGGTTTGCCCCTATTGTGTTTCCAGGTTTGTCAGCACCATTCCTCCCACATTAAGCTGACACGCTGCGATATAACTGGAATAACGTTCAAAGCGGTGTTAAACCCAACTCACTCACTCACCCTATAACCGTAAAGGGCACATAATTTACTGTACAGAGTTGCATCCCTTAGGCATGCCAGAAACCTATGATCCTGTGTTTGAATCCCGGTTTGCCCTGATTGTGTTTCTAGGTTTGTCAGAACCATACCCATTCTCATTGGCTTTTACCCTAGTGGTTAACATCCAAGACCTGCATTTAATCACTTCAGGTTTTCCTTTCACATCAAAACTGTCATGCTGTGGTATAACTGAAATACTGTTTCTCTCACTCATTCCAGTAGCCCAAACCTGTCTGTTCAGTATTGTCATAATTTTTAGTAGACCTTAGTGTTATTATGTAGTTTACAAATAGTAGGGCTTAATAAACAAAAGATATTTGGACCAGTGACTAAAGTGACAGAAGTGAGTAGATAGAGAATAACCAACAAGTTACAAGGAATTACGTACCCGTGAAGCTCTTGGGTAGAAAAGGTCTTCAGCAACGGGTGGTCAGGCTCGCTGACTTGGTTGATGCATTGTCATTGTATCCAATTGCGTGGATTGATGTTCATGATGTCAATCACTGGATTGTCTGGTCCAGACTCGTTTATTTACAGACAGCCGTCATATATCTTGAATATTGCTGAGTGCGGCGGTAAACAACAAACAAACAAACAAACAAAACTGTTGTATTTGGATCTGTGTAGGGAGCATGATTAGCAAGTAATAAACTGTTAAATGAAGGCTGAGGTATAATGGAAATCAATCTGAGTTTAACTGTCTCACTTATTTCATCATTATCAATGCAAACCTGTGAGTTTATTTCAGAGAAATGTAAACCAGATGAAGTTTACAACACTGTTTTTACCATCATCATTATAGAGATTGAAATGTAGTGTTGTTGTATTATTATCCCCCGCCACAATGAAGTTGGCGGGGGATGTAGAAATGGGTTCCGTCCGTGTGTGTGTGTGTGTGTGTGTGTGTGCGTATGCGTGTGCGTGTGCGTGTGCGTGTGCGTGTGTGTGCGTGAGTGCGTGAGTGCGTGTGCGTGTGCGTGTGTGTGCGTGAGTGCGTGAGTGCGTGAGTGCGTGCGTGCGTATGTGTGTGCGTGTGCGTGTGCGTGTGCGTGTGCATGTGTGCGTCCCGAAATCGTTTCCAGAGCATAACTCAGAAACCGTTAAATATTTCTCTACGAAACTTTGCACGTCTATCAGACTCATGCTGAACTGGTGCCTTTTGCTATTAAGGAATTTTATAAATTTTTATTTTTTACGTTTCCATGGCAACAAGTTGGACTTAGGTTCTATAGGGTAGAGTTTGTTTCCGGAGCATAACTCAAAACCCATTCAATACTTTCCAACAAAAACTGTGCATGTTTACCAGACACATACTGGACTGGTGCCTCTTGCTATTTAGGAATTTTAGAAATTTTTATTTTTCACGTTTCCATGGCAATAAGTTGGACTTATGTTCTACAGGGGTGGTGTTCGTTTCCAGAGTGTAACTCAAAAACTGTTAAATACTTTCTTACAAAACTTTGCATGTCTACCAGGCACATACTGAACTGGTGCCTTTTGATATATAGCACTTTTAGAAATTTTTATTGTTTATGTTTCCATGACAACAAGTTGGATTTAAGTTTTAATATAGGATTGGTTTACTTAAGTAGTATAACAAATAAACTGTTAAATATTTCCTTGCCAAACATTGCATGTCTATATATAAAGCGCATACTGAACTAGTGCCATTTGATATTAAGGAGTTTTAGAAATATTTATTTTAAAATTCCATTGCAGCTATTTTGACATGGGCTAAGAGAAATGTTTGGTCAGTTACCAGGTTTGGGACCATAACGTGTTAAAATGGGCGGGGGATATAGATGACTTTGTCAACTATACGCTTGTTATTATTATTATTCTTATTATTAATTAGTAATTAAAATCGCGTACTGGCTAAGTGCCCTTGAATTTGTATTTAAAATATAAAGTCTCTTTTCAGATATTCAAGATAGGAGTTTGCCACAGTAATTTCTATGTTATTGATCATTACTGAGATATAATCATCGAGATAGCTAATTGTCAACCGCAAACCATTTAATACACCAACCATTTTACACGTATATACCAAAATGAATTTCTGTGACTTCAATCTCAGTTATTATGACCATGATTTTAAGACCTGTAATTCATGTCATAATTTGTCAGTACCAATAGCTTGCACATTGCTCATCTCACCCAGCTACCTAAATACTAAGGTTGCTTTCAACATTCACAAATTAATGACCAACAGTCCTGGTGCTCAGAGCTAACAAGGTGTATAACATATCCACATCCTTTATTTTTTTCACTCAGAACTGCCCGTTCATGTTTATTTTTGAGATACAGAAATCACATGTGCTGCCATGAATACCGTGTCTGTTTGTACCTAGAATGTAGAAGCCTCAATGCTGATTACCTGATTAGAAAGTTCATGCAGACAAAATGTTTCTATTGTTACATAGATTTGACATGTGTGGACATGTAACCCATGTATGATGCCTTGTTTCAGGAACCTAAGAGGCAGGGAAAGTTTAAGCTGATAGAGAGCGGGAATGAACTAACAACACAGATGATCATTGAACGAATCATCAAACATAGGTAGGTAATGATTCACCGGCAGAGTACCGTATATCGCCCTGCTTAAGGTGGGGATTTTGTACCTAGAATTAGAGGGTTTGAAGGGGGGTGCCGTATACACAGGTAGAAGATCTCTGTGATGTCAACTGGTGTTGTTTGGTGGTAAAACTCTGCATCTTGTCCAAAGTAACTGTTCCAAGAGCTATTTTTGTATAGAAAAGCCAGCTGTACGTGATTTCCTTGTTCATACTATATAGTTGCTGCAACTATAGTTTGAGTGAGCCTCGGCTTAATCGAGATTGCCAAGGCAACTGATAAGGTGAAAAAAATCAATGTCTGTCAGTAGAGAGCGGGAAGTCAGCATAAGCGGGATCATCTCAAAATATCTGAAACACCTTTTTTATGACAGTTATATATATATATATATCTATAATATATAATTATCAGTTATAACTTAATCATCACTGTATTTCCATTGTTTTCATAAACAAATATCTAATTGTATGGTTGTATTGAAATAAACTTCAAAGAAGGAAAAATGAAACCAATAACAAAATTACATTTTCGTAACTTGAGATGACCCCGATCAGTTGCACACGTGACCTCACATGTTATATCTAACCAGTTAAGCTGAAAACATTCCCGTTGTTTTAACATCAATTAGCAAGTGTTGGAGAAGGCATGTATCGGTGACTGTTGACTAAAGACCCTAGTTGAATGAAACTAACCCTTAATTAATTGGCGATTTAATGACAGCAAATACATCCATTGTCTCACTCATTGTAGGACTTAAAATAAACTTTGTGTATGGGCGGCTGAGTTGTCTAAGGCGCCGCAACCAATTGTGCAGAGTTGCGTCCCTTGTGGATTCGAACCCTGGTGTTCCCCTCATTATGATTCTAGGTAATTCAGCACCATACTGGTGTTCATGGGTTTCTCCAGAGTGGTGAACATCTGTGATATGCATCACTTCAGGCTCTCCTCCAACGTCAAGCTGACACGCCGTGATATAACTGGAATACTGTTAAAGCGGCACTAAACCCAACTCACTCACACAATTGAAATTAACTTTTTTATGGCCACTATTTTGATGTCCCAATGTGCAACACACAAGAAGGCGCCGTAGTGTATGCCAATCATAAACACTGATTGAGATCGGTGATCAATGATGAAATCCCAACTGATTCCCCACCCTGACTGCACCCATTGGCCCCCTGTCTTGGGATCAACAGAGGACATGTCCACATAGGCTCCTCAGCAACCTGTGCTTGTAGGCGACAAATTCAAATAAGTGGTCAGTCTCACTGGCTTCCCAGACTGCCTCCGTGGTCTAGTGGTAGAGCGTCCGCCCTGAGAGCGGAAGGTCTGGGGTTTGATCCCCGGCCACATCATACCAACAGACGTTAAAAGATGGTACTTGTTGTTACCCTGTCTGGCGCTCGGCATTAAGGGGTTAAAGCAAGGACTGGTCGGCTCTGAGTCAGTATACTGTGTCTGAGTGGGGTATTCATGTTAAACTGCGGCATGGTATCTCAGTGGGCTAGAATTATAAATAGGCACGTGATATATTTTTTAATGACAAAAAGTGTCTAAAACTCTATGTTTAAAATACAAGTCACTAATGTTCTACAACTACTACTGACTACTATTCCCATTCCTTCTGACTTTTATGTGTTTGAATCTAAATAAAACTTCAGTCAACTTCAGTGTATACACCAGATCGTTTCATACATGTATCTAAACACATTTCACCAGAGCTACGGTCAAACTTTTCCCAATCGGACAGTTTGTACCTACCTCTTGAGACCTAGAGCGGGTACCCGGGTAGGGTAGGGTAATGGGGGTGGGGAGGTGGGGTGGGGTACCCGGGTAGTAAATTTGGACTCGTCCCAGCCCTAGTATTCATGTTAAACTGCGGCATGGTATCTCAGTGAGCTAGCACTATAAATCGGCATCATTCCGGACTAGTACAAGCAGCCACACACACACACACACATGCATGCACTATCGCTATGTAAGTGCAATAATCTTGGACGCAACGTTAAACCAAATCTCACCTCACCTCACCTCACCTCACCTCACCTCACCTCACCTCAACACAGATCTAGGTCTACAGAACATGTTACTGTTTCAGACTAGAGTATGAATCACGCAATAAGAAGAAGGAAGAAAAGGAAAGGAAAATCTATGAACACATAAAGAACACGAAGAACGCCAGTGGATGATGCAGCCAGCCACTGTTCTCCATCTTGCCTCTGTATTTAGCATAATGATCACATGTCCTATTTGCAACACAACCACTTGTCACTGGGGGATATATGAGGGTTTCCTGTGAGTTGTGTTTATAAGATGACCAAACTTTGTGTTCGACATTATATATATTTCATTGGGGGATTTTATTCTGAGGGGATCTTGCAAATACATGAATTTTCCAAGGAATGTGTTCCCTCAAGTTTATTTTCAAAGTTGTTTGGTTTTATGTATTCCATGTAGTAATCCCCATAATATTTTGAAGAATAAGACAGAGTTGTGTAAACTTCACTCTGTTTTCTTTGTTTTAACATAGATATCATGAATATGGCATACCGTAATCGACGTAATAAGCGCCCAGGTGCTCTCAAAATTAGAAATAGGGTGTTATTTTGGTGAATATTATTTTGGTGAAAAAAACAGTTGAAAGATCGTAAATTTTGTGGTTTATACTGACAGCCTGAAATGTTTATATATGACACATATATTTTTCCAGAATTTAATTGCCCATAATTAAGGGTGCATAAAACACACGAGTGCGTATCATACACGAATAGATAAGTCTTGTGTACATTGATCAATCGAAAAGGGGTGCTAATTGCGATTGTTCACGAGCCAATATATTAGCAAATATCACCATTGGTGCTATTAGAGCGGGGTGCTTATTACGTTGAATACGGTCGATATGATTTCATATTGGAGTGACTTGCAGATGTAAGTGTCAAGGATTTCTGTTGACAACATGAACAAGAAGTCGTGGTAACATGGACTAAGAATGTTTTGAAGTCAAATTCAGTTGAGATTACTAGTAGAGATTACTGACAATGAGGTAGATTGTTTACGTAGATTTCCATGACTATCAAACAACTTCAGCATCATGGGGTTCAAAATGATGTTTCCACAATAATTTACTGCACTGTTCAAAGGAAGTTAACGATCATTACAAATGATTAAAGTTAATCTGTCATAGCTGTGATACAGGTTTGGTTGTCATTGCTACCATTGTTGAGAAGAAACAAGTTGTTTGTTTGTAATGGCTTCAGGCCATTCTCTCTATCAGCCATGTTAATGTGTGGATGTGACCAACTTAGATTTAGCAAAGACTGTATTGTAATGTTAAATATCATGCAGTTTGCGGTTGGCACTTTCACTATAATGGTATATTTTATCTATCTCTACCTATGTCTTTGTCTCTCTATGATCCACTTGTTATATGTTAATCAAGTTTAAGCAGATTTTTATGTTGTTCTTCTCATTGTTTTATGACTATTTCTATTACTGTGACCATTAAGTGTAAACAATGTAAATAACTCGTGATGAAGATGTGATGTTTTAGATCTTATCTTTTATTTTTAGATTGTCTGTGGTGTCTTTTATCAAATAATTAGAAAACTTTGAAAATAAAAAAAAAGAATTATTGTTTTGTTTTGTATTTTTGTATAAAAATCCAAGATATAGAGGTTATCACATTATCATAAACATTGTATTTAGCGAGCCTTGGGGAGCTAAATACATAGTGTTAATTCCTAATATAGGATATTTACCATCCCCAAACACAGAAACATCATAACCTTTTTATCATATGATGTCATTCTTCAATTCAACCCTGTAGTCACCTGACATACAATTGTCAGTCGGGTAGCCTAGTGGTGAAAGCATTCGCTCGTCACGCTGAAGACCCGGGTTCGATTCCCAACATGGGTACAAAGTGTGAAGCCCATTTCTGGTGTCCCCCGCCGTGATATTGCTGGAATATTGCTAAAAGCGGTGTAAAACCATACACACCCACACCCAACACACACTCACTACAATTGTATTGAAGGTGTGTGGAGCTTCAGCTACATGGACTGAGTTACCCTGTGGTCACCTGACATGCAATTGTATTGAAGGTGTGTGGAGCTTCAGCTACATGGACTGAGCTACCCTGTGGTCACCTGACATGCAGTTGTATTGAAGGTGTGTGGAGCTTCAGCTACACGGACTGAGCAACTCTGTAGTCACCTGACATACAATTGTATTGAAGGTGTGTGGAGCTTCAGCTGCGCGGACTGAGCTACTCTGTAGTCACCTGACATACAATTGTATTGAAGGTGTGTGGAGCTTCAGCTACATGGACTGAGTTACCCTGTGGTCACCTGACATACAATTGTATTGAAGGTGTGTGGAGCTTCAGCTGCACGGACTGACCTATCGAACTGACCACATTACTGTGAATACCAGAAACAATATCCAAACCAAAACAAAATCTCATTAAAATCAGATCTTAGTTCTCGCTATCGCTAAACAAAGATCTGAGGACATCCCATTACGGGTCACGTCAGAACGACCTTTCATCCGACCAATCAAAGCGTCGCTTACCAGATCATGAAAGTGACAGTCAGAATGTGTTTTCTAATCATGCAACCTCGAAAACGTTAATGCGGGGTATTCCGAACGACATTTACGGCCCATACGACTGATTCCGTCAAAATTATCGCCTGTCTCTCGCTTCCGTGGGATAAACATTTGAACGGAGGAGGCGTTGCAAAGTACGTGGGAAGCACTGCCATACAATCGCATCCATAAATTAGACCTTCATGAATGTTCGTTTGTTCAGTTTTCAAAATTTTACTCGAGAACTGTGTCAACATATTTTTCAAGCGTAGTCTGAAATGGAAGTCGCCAGGTTGAAACGAGTGCCGTAAAGCTGGAGAAGGCTGCCTTCTAATTGGCTGATGTCGACTTCTTGTTAGTCGTTTCAGTGGTCGGTCAAAGGTCGTTCTGACGTGAACCGTAATGGGATGTCTTCAGATCTTTGTTTAGCGGCAGTGGCGTAGCCTTGTGGTTAAAGAATTCGCTCGTCACGCCGAAAGCCCGGCTTCGATTCCCCACATGGGTACAATGTGTAAAGCCCATTTCTGGTGTCCCCCGCCGTGATATTGCTGGAATATTGCTGAAAGCGGCGTAAAAAAACATACTCACTCACTAAACATACGTACAAGTTTGCAGGACATTTGTTGGTTTTTACTCACGCATCTTTAACCTTTTACATGTGATGGGTTTAAAGTTTAAGTCATAAGGTAGGCCAATGTTTGGTATGTATTTTGGTCAGAATGAATTGAATAAATATTGCTTTACACCGCATTAGCAATATATCAGATATTCGCCGCGATATGTTGGTCAGAAGTCCATGAAAACACTATTAACACAACATCGAAATTGTATTATTGTAGTTATACTTAATAATTACAAGTAAGTAACAACCTTGTTTGGTCATTTGAATAATTCTTTTACATTTTGCACTCTACCTGGAACTAACTATCTGTAGTGTGGTAATTAATACAGGATCTGTGTCATGTCTGTGTCAACAAATACACGTTCAGCACGTGGGAATAGACACAATTCATGTAAATGGTGATAATAATAATACAAGAGCATCAAAGCCCTTTATTATCCATTCGGTAAGGGAGATGCTGTTCAGTACATCTCAAGTAACAGCTGATTGGCTATTCCCCTCACCCCCCTCACACACACACACTAGACTTAATATTTACTTGAAAAAAATCTACTGAATATATTTTTGTATTTCCCAATTAGGATAATCGTTTACACTTGTTGCCATTGCTTATGGTAAACACAAAACGTATACAAGGCTAGGGACAGATAATCCTTCATTCCTCGTCACACGTAAATTATTCTCAATTTCCATAGCCAAAAGAAAGCTCTGCTAAAAACAGAGTCGATTATACGATTCCGTCACTATCAAATTGTGAGTGAGTGAGTGAGTGAGTGAGTATGGTTTTACGCCGCTTTTAGCAGTATTCCAGCAATATCACGGCGGGGGACACCGGAAAATGGGCTTCACACATTGTACCCATGTGGGGAATCGAACCCGGGTCTTCGGCGTGACGAGCAAACGCTTCAACCACCAGGCTACCCCACCGCCCCTTATCAAATTGTGATGATACCTGATGTTCACGAATTGGTAAGCGTATCCTTTCCATCAAGTGGCCCCGTCACAAACACATGCAAAGTCAAGTCAATTGTGCACCTAAACGAACCACGGAAACAAATGGTTCAAGTCAAAATAGGGAATTGCATTGGACATCACGTGCTTCAATCGATCGTAGCATGTGAATATAAGGTAGTAGAAACCTATTCTGTTGTTTGGGGCCTCCGCGGCAGCTGTATTTAAAGCCCATTTAACAGGAAGTGTAACGATATTTTGTATATGTGTATTGAGTGGAGACTTACATAATACGCGTTATTTTAAAGTAGACCTTGACTGGACCTTTTCACTTTGACAGTGTCTTTAAATTCCCCAAAGATGCATTCTTGACTCTTAAACTGGTGGACTACAAAACTAATTTTGGCATGCCTTTTTATTCTGATAATGGCATCATAGTCTCTTCAAATGTGTATTCAACAATGGAACTATAGATCGGGGGTAATGTGTTCAACATACTATCATCATAGTTACCCTGAATGGCAGTCACAGATTCAAATAATTCTTACAGGTATTTGGATTCAGGTGTCGCCTTCTGTAGTCAGAGAAAAGTACAACGTCATCTATGTCTGAGTCAAAAATATAAGTACAACGTCATGTGTCTGAGTCAAAAATATAAGTACAACGTCATGTGTCTGAGTAAAAAATATAAGTACAACGTCATGTGTCTGAGTCAAAAATATAAGTACAACGTCATGTGTCTGAGTCAAAAATATAAGTGCAACGTCATGTGTCCGAGTCAAAAATATAAGTGCAACGTCATGTGTCTGAGTAAAAAATATAAGTACAACGTCATGTGTCTGAGTCAAAAATATAAGTGCAACGTCATGTGACTGAGTCAAAAATATAAGTGCAACGTCATGTGTCTGAGTCAAAAATATAAGTGCAACGTCATGTGTCTGAGTCAAAAATATAAGTGCAACGTCATGTGTCTGAGTCAAAAATATAAGTACAACGTCATGTGTCTGAGTCAAAAATATAAGTGCAACGTCATGTGTCTGAGTCAAAAATATAAGTGCAACGTCATGTGTCTGAGTCAAAAATATAAGTGCAACGTCATGTGTCTGAGTCAAAAATAAAAGAAATAAAATTTCATCAAACTGTTAAGTTGTTTTTATTCTGAAAGTAACCAACAAAACATGATTATATGGAAGCTGAACCATTGTGTGAATGGCTATTACAGATTGACTGAAGTTTGGGCACGCCATGCAGAAACCTGTGATTGTGGGTTCGAATCCCGGTTCGCCCCGATTATGTTTTTGGATTTGTCAGCACCATACCTGTGCGCGTGGGTTTCACCAAATAAAATCTAAATGAAGCACAGCAGCAAACCTGTCAGCAAACAAGGTAAGTGCTAGATAGCCGATCTGAAGTCTTTCAGGAGCTGTAATCTGGCCTTTCGGTTGCGGTTTCTC